AAAAAATCGAAATCAGCTGATCGGTCATGTGACTAGCGGTCATGTGATCAGTAAACTTTTGTCCCGCGGTTGCACATTGACAAACATAAGTCGGAAGTTTTGAGAGCTACCGTTAACACAACAAAACTTATTTCTGTTTAATTTAAGCATAACATTTGCATGTGTAAATATATGGAACTCTTATCGTCACCATGACTCACATGTACGTTTATATCGGCGTTATAGCGAGTACACTATTTCTGTTGCAAAGTAATGCCGACACGGGTGACATAAGAAATGTGCGTCGTATGTCAATAAACAAACACACAGGTAGGAACACCTTTTTGATACTTTAACGGAGCTTTTTGTTCTGCTTTAAAGAACGGTTCACAGCGGTACGTAGTATAGGCAGCGCTGGTTTTGGGTTCAGCGTCTGCTGACTGTAAAGCCCAATGCAAGAGTGGCCGTTTCGGCACTCTTCCGAATAACGACGGTCCCAAATGACCTCTCATGTCCCTAACTACGACCTCTTGAGGCCCTGAATGGGATTTTTTGTCTTTAAATAATAAGGGACCGTTATTCGGAAGAGTGCCGCCGTTTCGGTCACATACATAGTCTACAAAATAATAGTTGATACTCAATCGTTCGTCGGCGTCTATGGCTTAGGCGTTGCAAACGCGCTTCGTTAAGCCGGGGTGCCGGGTTCGATCCTATCTGCGGGCCTTGCGCCTTGCGTTAGTTTCGACAGTGGTATCGAGAAGCCTACTGTCCTAAAAGCAATGGCAAACTACTGGGCGCAAACTTACCTAGAAAAACCACAACAGCCAAAAAATGCTGGGGTTAGTTCTGCAACGTCCTGTAATGGATACGCAACTAACTTTAACTCAATCGTGCTGAGGCTGGTTTTCTCTCAGATGTCTACTCTCTGTAGACTAAAGTTGCTGTGTTTGGCTGCTGGGATGTTAGCTCCTGCGCGTTATGTTTGTTTTATTGTATCTGGTCGTCATCTTATCTGGTTTTAGTTTATGCTGTCTGGTTCCTGACGATCTCGGCGCCTTTCATCTCTCAAAAGGGCACAGAAACCCCAAACCTTTTGTAGACTAATTCATGATTGGTTGGATTTTTGCACAAATAACTTTTATTGGTTGAGGTGGCCAGTCTCATGGCAACCCTTCTTAGTTACTGTCAATACTCTCTGAGTGGGTTCTGGGGGCCCATTGTGGGGAAAACAAGAATAGACCCACTGTTTCCCCCAAAAGCATGTTGTATGAGTTGACTAATTGAGGGCTTTTTTCAAAGTCAGAGTGCATGTGCCTGAGAGGCAAGGAACCAACAGTCTGCACACAAGTAAGCCAGGTCTGTAAAATAGATGTGCATGCAGCACTCAGTTCTGGAACAAGGCTAAAGTCTAGAGGATTATGAAGAATAGCTAGTGACAGTGAAGAAGAAGAAGAAGAAGAAGAAGAAGAAAAAGACCTTCTATGCCATACATTGAATGTTAGTGTTTCTATTCTTTACATATCTTGTACGCCTTATGACACATAGGCACAGTAACAGGTGGTTTGGATAGTAGTGTTTATTAAAAAGAATTTTTTTGTTTACATTTCTGAAATATAACTGGGATTGTATCAGATCTAAATGTTGAATTAAGTATCAACATCACAGAACTCCAGCCAGACATTCTCATAAGTGCTTTAGCCATGTCTTCAGCAGTTTTTACAGAGTTTTAGTTCCTATGGCATCAAATAACAGTTGACTGTATATCTGTCTTACCCTTTCCTTGAGTGCTGAGTGTCGGCCAGATCCCATGGTCACTCCTCGCCTCTGCACTGTTCACAATCTCTCTTAAAGAATCCTTACACTGTCTAGCTTGTCATACATAAATTCACCACCAGGTAATGCAACCCAGCCAGACTATTTTCCAACACACTGTCATAACTTGGAGAACATATCCAAAGGACGCTAACTACCAGGTTATGCTTGCCACTCTGCAGGGAGCATACCTGTTTCCACTTTTCTTAACATATCACATTTATTTGTGTAGGAACTGATAACCGTATTTTTTATAATCGAATAGATACTTTTAATTATTTCATAAAATACCATGTATTTAAGATAATTGTATTATTCACATTGTAGATTCTTTTTTTCATTATCTATGATTCACAGACATACAACTGTACATACAGTAAAATGTAGTAAATTAAATGATCCTTATTATGCCAATAGCACAGTGGACACATGATGCTACTCATATTACTATAGACCAATTGGCATTTAGTGGGTAATGAGGTCAGCATCATGTCGACTACCTTTTCTTTCCATTACATTAACGCGTACCAAATTTAAAGGGTTTACCTGGAAGCGAGCATCATCATCATCAAGTGCTTTGCCGACTGCCATAGGTGATCATGCCTCTCCACAAGCCGCAATCTGCTACTGGGTGTGTCAGTTCATGTGCTGACATCCTTCTAAGCCATGACAAAAGGCTGTTGAGAATCTTCTCGTGCTGTCTTCCTCTGCCTCTCTTCCCACAGATCTTTCTAGTGGTCACAATGTGTTGCAGTTTCCCTCTTCTCATAACATGACCAATAAATGATGACTGTCTCTTTCTGGTGCTTGTGATAAGTTGTTGGAAGCGAGAATCTGGCCAGTATGCTACAGTGCTCCTTCAGTATATATTTTAATATATGTAACTCTCTCTCTCTCTCTCTCTCTCTCTGTATATATATAATTTCTCTATAGATACTAGTTTCAAACTTAATGTATCATTAACAGAAAATGAGAAACCTGAGGCTGTTGAATTTTCTCTGGCCAAACACTTTCAAAATCACATGGTCCTGCAGAAAGCACCAGCAAAAGCTAAGATTTATGGGTTTTCTCCAGGACTGGGCAAGAAAGTTGATGTGGTGGTATGTCTGAATAGATACAATTATATACACACACATGCACACACACACACACACACACATACACACAGAATTTGCAAGCACCTACCCATACACACTTTATTAACAACAATGATTTCATAATTCTAAATTACAGGTCATCAAAGACAGAAAGAAGTAAATGACTTCGTTCATGCCACCAACACATTAGGCTTACGGTTCTAGATGTATCTTTGTATAGCGATTAGCACTTGATGAATAATGTAGTCAAAAATCATGCTGGTCATTTTTATTATCCAAGACATTTCCTTCTACTCATTTTAGCTTGGTTACCTTGGAAGCCATGTCAGTTGTAAAAATGTGTTGTGGTGCATACTTGTATCTAATTTCTTCCCATTTGGGTTCCGGCCCCATTGTGGGTGGGGGGTGGGGGGGGGGGTGGAGGGGGAAGAATAGATCTGCCGCCACCTAACAAGCATGTCAGTAATTAAAGCTGATCAACTACGGGTATTTCCTTTAAAGTCAAAGTGCATCTGCCTGAGAGTTGAGAACCAGCAGTCTGTATAACTATAAGCCAAATCTGTCACACAGATGTGCATGCAAAACTAGAGTTGTGGATCAAGACCAGATTCTAGGAGTGTAACTAACAACCAGAATTTTCCACCAGAGTTTTACAGCTTATGAAGGCTGAGAAGAAAAAAAAGATGACTGGGTCGATCAGGGAGCCCAGGTCAGTGACAAAAACTCCATGTCTTGAGGCTGATTTGAACACGTGGTTATAGGGCAGACAGGCAAGCAGTCTAGCTACTTAGCTTCAGCAGCTGCTGAGATGTAAAGTATAGTCCCATAGCAGATGCTGCCGCTGGGATGTCTTCTTATTCCCCTCCTCCTCTTCTTCCCCTCCTCCTCCTCCTCCTCTCCTTCTTCTTCCTCGTCTTCATCTTCTTCTTCTTCTTCTTCTTCTTCTTCTTCTTCTTCTTCTTCTTCTTCTTCATCTTTTTCTTCTTCATGCTCACTGGCTACAAACTCTGGCAACACGTTATGATTGGTCATCCACTTCTGGACTTTGGTCTTGTTCTAGAACTTGAGTTTTGTGTGCACATGTTTTTTTTTTTTTTACAGATCTGGCTTTTGTTGTTGTAAGCAGACTGTTGGTTTCTCAGCTCTCAGGCAGTCACACTCTGACTTCGAAGGAAACGCCCCTAATTAGCCAACTTTGATGACATGCTTGTGGGTGGGGGGCAGTGGGTCTATCCCCCCTCCCCCAAATTTGCCTGGAACCATACAGGAAGAAACCAGTGTACGAGTAAAGTGATTACCAGGAACTTCATCATGCATGATCATGGAGATAAACGCCACCTTCAGAGCATTTGCTTAACAGAACAAGAAGCAACACATGAGGTAATGATATCAGACTCAATGAACATGCTTAAGAATATGACAACGGGCAGCGTCCGCTCTGAATGGACAGACAGCATTTAGAAGCTGCACTTAACCTCAATCACCTGGATTTACACACCTGGGCATACCAGAGTATGAGGTATTGGTCGAGCAGACCAACTTGCCATTATTGTACCACCACATGCGGGAAGATGTGTGGACATAAACTATATAATAGAATCAATAATATATGACTAGACTGGCCATTAATGATGAATCTCTGATGCTAACCTGGGAATTACTCCCGGTGAAGCTTTTGTGTGCCATCTTCGTGCTCAAGATAGGAGACATTATAATCAACTTTAGGTAGCTGCTGCATTGGTGAACTGATTATGTATGGGGATGTCTAATATACAGCGATGTGAATTATGATAACACAGCATTACTAGTATTGGTTTTATAGTTGAGATGTATCGATTGTACTGGAATAAGAACATTCAGTTTCACAGTCTGTCATTCATTTTTATGACATACAGGTAACATTTAAGCATATTCATTTTATTTGTTTTTTGTAGGTGAGTGCTAAAGGTTATTCTAAAACATATGTGACTACAATACGGGCAGGGCATTCTCCTGGCCCAGGAATTGGAGTATGGAGTGTTCTGCTAGAGCCTATGACTGCTGGAACCACAGTAAATATAACAGCTGTTTCACAAGGAATTCAAATCGTTATTACTGACGTTATTTTTGGAGATGTCTGGCTATGCTCTGGTCAGTCAAATATGCAGTTTACAACCGTTCAGGTTAGCAGAAGTTGAATATAGTTTATACCTATTAAATTTAGCAGATATATTAAAGAACATTAAAATTACCTTGATGTGTTAAATGATGTTTTTCTTGATGGTTTTTAAATTACTTTCTCACTGAAAGCCAGATAACTTTAGATGATGTATAATTTGAGGTTGCTAGGGAATACCAGTAACCTGGAATTATGGGATGGGAAATTTTTCAGAATTGCAAGTGCTTTTTAGAGATAAAAAAAAAAAAAGAAGTATAAAAAATAAACAAAATATTTATATAGGTATACATGTGCTCATTCACACACAGATTTCACATATACATCCAACAGATTGTTAAAAAAAAAAAAAAAAAACTTACTAATTCATGATGGAGTCAACATCACACTGGCCACCTTTACTTCTCAGATTATTTCCCTAATATGTACCCATTTTAGGTGGACCAACCTGGGATCAAAGGTAATTTTTATAATATCCTTCCCAGTGTGGATTTCAACCCATACTTTGGAACCGACAGGCAAGTGTCTAGCCACTGTGTTACTTCAACTAATCTACAGATATGTGTCTTTAAACGTTTTCAAGAATTGTCCATGTTCTCTAATGTTGTTTCAGGTCAGTGGGCACATTTTGTAGTGTCTGCAACCAATCTCTGTAGATGTTAACTGTAAATATACATTCTGTGGTAAAGTGATCAAGCGGTTTGTCTCATGCTCTGAAAGTCATGGATTTCTTTCATTGCTGCAGTTTTTTACAGAAATTCATGGTGATTTTTGCGGGAGCTTCAGGAGTTCATGCTTTATGTGACACTCTTGGCAGACAGCTTACCATTCTGCTGAGAGAGACTGAGACATGTGGGATAAAACCTGGCGTAATGAAGTTGATCCTCTTGAGTTTAACTTTATTCTGTGGGTCAAGAGGAAAATAAATATTGAGATCTGAATTTTGAAGAAAGCTGGCTACAACAGCTCATACCTAAGGATGTGAATTACTTTGGCCATATTACACATCACACAGACCTTTTTCATTCATTCAGCACATTGCTCAGATTTGGATTCAAACCCCTCAGCCGTCAGACAGTTAAGCAAGCATCTAGCCATTGTATTAGCGGGTTCAATTTAATATGCAGTGGGACACCACTATGAGTTATTACAGGTGAATCCTATTTATAAGAGGGCAGCTTGCATGATTTGTTGAACAGAGTAGCCTTCAGATCCCCACTAGTATCATAAATACCACAGTGGCTTAAAAAATACAGAAGTCTTCTTCTTCTTCATGTTCACTAGCTGTAAACTCCGGTGGAAAGTTCTGGTTTTTTTTTGTCAACCTCTGAACTTTAGTTTTGTCCCAGACCCTGAGTTTTGCATGCACATCCGTTTTACAGACCTGACTTAATTGTATGCAGATTGTTGGTTCCTTGCCTCTCAGGCAGATGCATTCTGACTTCGAAGGAACCTCCCCAGTTAATTGACTCTTACGACATGCTTATTAACCCTACCAGACCTGAGGCCCTGAACCTAACTGTCCTTATAACCTGAGCTCCTGGGCATTACCGTGAAAAACCAACAAAAATATTAGTTACATGCGAACGAGTGTCTAGAATATGATGAAACTTAGAGACGTAGAAAATAAGCTTACCTTTTATCTAGCGCCAATATCCACATTTGTGTGCGAATTCACTCATCATCAACTTGGGCCACCAGATGTTGCCGTTTGATAGACACACACGATCTATTTCAAGATTTATAATTTTCAAGAGAGTTCTCAACAGTGTCACTCCAAGAAATTCTTTATGAAATTATCACAGATAATGAATATATATATATATATATATATATATATATATATATATATATATATATATATATATATATATATATATAATATATATACATATATATCACAGAGTCTGAATAAACAAAGTAACGATCACCTGTTGGACTGTGAAAAGAATTTTCAGAATTTTTCCATGTATAACAACACAAAAATAATCCAAACACATGCAGGCATACATTTGCAATGTGTAACAAAGAGGATTGATAACGACTGGGTGGTTGTTTTTAGTCCGTGACGCATCGTTTTCCCATACTACGCAAAAAGCCGAAAATTAGGGCCAGCGGTATAGAGACAGGTTAAGAAATTCCTGATAAACTGGGCCAGCGGTCTGGTAGGGTTAAGAAGGTAGTGGGTGTTCTTGTTTTTCCCACAATGGGGCCCCAGAACCCACACAGGGAACCAAAAGAGAAATGAAATTCCAGGTTTCTTGAAACGAGGACAGCAGCCGGCCAATGTTATTATTGACAGAGGGCATTAAAGACACCCCGGTCATGATAATGCGTGGGGCATGGGAACTGATTAACGATTAAGATGCTTTACCATGGGTTGTTATGTAAGATAGGTTCTGCCCATTTACTTTCTGAGAGCATTGCACACAGCACAAAACTTTAGCTCTCACAATTACCCCCAAAGATTTCTAAACCTGTACTTTCAAACTAAAGGACAGAATCTGAAACCAAACTGAACCCACAGAAATTCAGATTGCAAGGCAAGTTGTCTGACAGCCTAGCCATGCAAACTGCTTTATATTATTTGAAAACGATCAACCTACGAGTTTTATAAATTTGTTTGTTTATTAGCCGCTTGGAAAAAAGTGAACTGGCAATTTAACTTTGTAACTTTACTGACTGCAGTGGTCTTGCTTTTCAGATGCTTGACGCTGCAGAAGAAATTGCTGATGCTCATAACTATCCCAAATATCAGAATCATGACAGTGTATGAGAAGACATCGGCCACTCCTCTTGCTGATCTGCTAAAGATCCAACAGAACTGGACCAGACCTGATAATTGTATGATATAAATAAGATACCAAGTGAATATATTAGAGATAAAATATGAGATTTTTAGAGATAAAATAGTTATATAAAGAAAGAGAATTGATGAAATATATATTTACACAAGAAAATGTACTGTTTCATGAAAAAAGCATACTAGTTAGAAAATTAGCCAAAAAAACATGAAAGCAAAACTTATTTTTAAAAAAATGTGAATGCGTCCTAATATACTTATTTATCATCATCATTTTAACTGTTATTATTTAGTGCCAGGCATTTGTTGAACATTGACTGTAGTAAGTCTCAAATACTTTCTGCTGAGACATATAACAAAAGCTTCTTGAAGTGCATCGCTTGAGTTTGAGGTTTTGAACAACGGATGAACATCATGGCACACGGGTGTAACCCATAAGTGCTCCATTCTTCTTCTAACTCAAGTCTGAGTCCGAAGAAGCTCAGCACAATGTACAGGCTCTGTAGCACCGGCGAGGATACTGAAATACTTTGGGTAGGTTTTTAACCCTAGATTTTGTCCAGGCAGCGCCGTTAGGCTACTCTTTTTGATTTCCAACTGCCAAAGGATTTTGTACGTGCACAACAATGCACACGGGCGTCCGATCTCATTACCCAGAGACCAGATGGAATTACTAGAAATCCAAGTCCACATGAAAAAATCCTAGCTCTAACCTGGGATTGAACCCGGAACCTCTAGCACTCGAGGCGGACACATGACTTGAGTCCACCAGCCCCCTCACTTGAGTTTGTTTGCTTTTGTGTAATGTTATCTTCTTCCTGCCTTCCACCATGTCCTTCTAACAACATGAAGCTTGATGTCTTTCTCAAGTGCAGTTGTATGAGAAGCACACTGTAGAAGAGATTGAAATCTCACCACATACATAGTAGTCACAAAGACAGCAGTGGTCCAACTATGCTCCATTGTGAAAATGACACTGTTTATTTAAATAAAATCTAAGCTGTTTTACAGTTGTATGTTATTCTTGCCATTCTCATTCTTTTATTTCTACCTTACCCCTCACTTATCAATTATTAATTGCATAAGAAAAAACTGTTAACATATTCATATTATCTTATCTTATTTTGTTACTGCTATTTTTAGACTTCTTTATATTTATATCTCCGATATTTTCAGTGCACAAACTGATAACTTTTGAAAAAACTTTTTTTTCTATATATATATATAAGATGTATAAGATAGAACTTCCTCATTTAGACATGCAAGAATTTTGGAGTTTAATCTTAGCTGAAGAAAATTGCAGGAGACAGTAAAGGGACATAATGATAATCATTAAGTGCCTTGTCAACTGGCATGGGCGATCGCGCCGCATCACCTCTTATGATCTTTAACAGCATGTATCATTTCATGTTTTGACAGCCTTCCATTTCTTGCCAAAAAGATGTCAAGAATATTCTTGCATTGTGACATGATCATAGAATCTAATAATCAAACTGAATAACCTGCAAATGATGATAGTAATGTGATGCTAAGTTAAAAATTTTGTCATAATTAGTATTGTGAATAAATTATTGAGTACTTACCATCACTTTCAGCAGCGGAAAAATGAAGTGGAGATAGAAGTCATATTTATTATTGCATTGAAGAAAATGTTTTACATATCTTTCTAGCTAGCGTTGGTGGTCCAGCCTGGGCATATTTTTCTGCTGTGTGTTGGTTATTTGGTAAAGCTATACATAAAGAACTTGGCTACCCCATTGGGTTAGTGGCTACAGACTGGGGCGGCACTCCTGTAGAGGCATGGTCATCCCCTGAAGCTCTTGCTGAATGTGGCGTCCATAGTACAACTAGAAGCAAGCAGCCAGCTTCATTTTTAGAGTAAGTGCGGGCTGTGTGTATCAGTCTCATATATTTAAACCTAGAGCTCTGGTATAGTGCAATTGTTGATTCAAGTTCGATCCCAAATGATGGCATGGTTAACAACAGTTTAAAAAATTTCCAACTAGGGTGGCTTATGGATCAAGACAGAAAATGTGGACAATAATATTCTGGGAAGGAGTGTTGTCAAAGAAGGGAGCTGCACACTTTAAATGCTTGACACTCACAACCCCAATATTTACCATTCTAGAGGAACACATTAAGAAGCAACAACCTCCATCCTGAAATTTTTTGATTTCAAGAAGGCCTTTGACAGGTTGCATAGAATTTCACTATGGGGAATTTTGGAATGCTATGGCCTAAAAGCCAAAATAATATACATTAGAAATTTATTCAGGGGTTCAGAATGTGCAGTGTGCACTGAATATGGTCTAAGTGCTGTTTACAGGTGTGTTTTTTCTGGCTTGTTTGTATTTCTGGTCGTCACACACATGTCATAGATGCAGCCGGCCAGACAGATGTGTGATTTCTCTCAGAGATACTTCAGTTTAAGTGATTTGTGTGTGTTCTTGTTCATATTTGGTATTGCATATTCACCTAATGTGCTGATGAAGACTCTTTAGCTGCAACGTTCATTTGCTTGTGTTCATGATAATGTTCCACTTGTTATTTGGTTTGATATCTTTTCTTGATAGGTATGTGAACAAGCTTCCACTTGAGTCAAGAAAACGTCTCCTAGGACCTGATAATAATTCTGCTTTATGGAATGCCATGATCTACCCATTTTTAAACATGACAATATATGGTGCTATTTGGTATCAAGGTAGGTTAATTCTGACAGAAGATCTTATGTTAAATGAAGCAGTTTGTGTACGGTTTTATGAATTTAGAATTAAGTGTGGATCCAGTAAGAAACAACGTATGAGAGAAGGAGTAGACCTGTGGACAACTGGTGTACTTTTTAAACAGTCAGCATCTATAGCCTAACACATTTGCTGGGGGGGGGGGGGAGGGGGAGGGGATGGAGCATCTGTGGGTATGCTTGGGATTATTTGATATTGATTCTTCTTCTTCTTAGCATTCACCAGTTGTAAACTCTGGTGGAAAGTTCTGGTTGTTTGTCCACTCTTGGACTTTGGTCTTGATCCAGTACTTGATTTTTTCGGACATATCTATTTTACAGATCTGGTTTATTTGTATGCAAACTGTTGATTTCTTGTGTCTCAGGCAAATGCAGTCTGACTTTAAAGGAAACACCCATAATTAGTTGCTTCCTGTGACATGCTTGTTAGGGGCCAGTGTGTTTGTTATTTGTTCTCAAAATAAAGTCCTGGAACCTACACATGGAGTGTTGATTCTTAAGTCAGTAATCAAAGTATGTTGCATGATCTATGTCAGGTCTATTCAACTAAGTTTAGCCCGGGGCCAAAATGTTGAAAATTGGAATCATTAAGAGCCAGAGGACCGGTCCATACCACAGAAAGATCATTGATATCGTACAATTGGCATTGATCCGCCGGCCACTTGCTAGGGCCAGATTTTGGCCGTGGACCAACAGTTGAAATAGACCTGTTCTATGTGGTTTGCTTTGTAAATTATCATTTTGCACAGTGCACCAGGTATATAGCACTAGCACAGTGGGAATAAAAATGTGCAGATCTGGGGTTTATAAAGGTCTTACGTGTTGTGTATTTAGTCATCACTGTGGGAATTATGATATGGTTCAACAGAAAACTTTCAGAAACTGAGATGAAAGGAAATTTAACACACATGGATTAAATATTTGTAGATTACTGATGTCTTTTAATTAACCCCTGAATTCTGTTGATATACAGGGTTAGGGTTTACAGCAGATGATTGAAAATTAGGGTGCAAGAGGTGAAATGACATATTGAAATTACACAAGCGCAACATATACAACAAGCGTGACAATTATTATGCAGCACATATTATACATTTTAAAAAAAATATATAAAAAATAAGAAAAGCTACCAATTACAGAATACAGTTATAGAATGGCAAATATGCAACCGTCAGTCCTAGAACCATGGGAATTGTGCTGCTGGGTTTTGGGAACAGCATCTGTTGTGATGGAATGGAAGAAAACATCATCCTGTGCCTCAGTGCAGGTCACACAAGATGATGCAGCAACATATATTGTTCACCGGTTGGCATATTTCCATCTTTCCAGATGATAATGGAACTATAAGAGCCATGTGTATACACAGTTTACATTTCAAACAACAGGCATGTGCATTTATGGTTTAGAACCTAACCAGAAAATTTACTCCAAGGCTGGCCCAAATATGACACATAGCAGCAAACCACTGATCTAGACAAAACTGAAAACTAATCTTCATAAACCATTCAGCGAACTAAACAAAGACTTAAATTCATACAAAAGATAAAATTAACCAGGAAAGCCGACATGGATAACAAATGCCTGCAGTAGTCAGATGTGTTTAGCTGAAAGGTGCAAATATTGCAGCTGTGCTGTAAACTGACACAACACATTGACAACACCAGATGAATGATTATGATGATGAAGAAGAAGCAGATACACAAGATACAATTGCAGATATAGGCAATCTGTTTGAAGTGAACTAAGGAAGTTGAGGATGAAGTTCATTAGTCTTGTGAACTTATGGTTATAATTCAGTATAAAATTTGTTTAATTGTTAAGGGATGGTTAGAATTCAGTCTAACATTTGTTTCTTTGTTCAGAGATGGTTACAGTACAGTATACCATCTGTTTGTTTGTTCAGGGATGGTTAGATTTCAGTATAGCATTTGTTTCTTTGTTCAGGGATGGTTAGAATTCAGTATAACATTTGTTTTGGGATTTTTAGAATTTAGTATAAAATTGGTTTCTTTATGCAGGTGAAGCTGATGCTGATGGAGATAAAATGAATAGATATAACTGCACATTCCCTACAATGATAAAAGACTGGAGAAAGAATTTTCATCATTCTTCTGAAAGACAAACAAATGCCACATTCCCATTTGGATTTGTACAGGTATATATTTGAGAATTGCTGAAGACACAACAATAGTTTTATAGAAGCGTAGTGAGAGATTGTAATTTTAGATTATCCCATAAAAGTATCTTGTTGCAAGGAAATATGGTTGTTATGTTTATAAGGGATTTTTTCCATACTGCCCGCCACGAGGTTGATAATTTTAAATTTGGCCCATGAACAAAAACAAAAAAGTGCATACTAAAGTAACACTTAAATCAAATAGGGTAAATAAGGTAATCATTTATAACTGAAGTACAAATTCAGCTTGCATGGTAAAATAGGCAGTTGCTTTTCAGCGTTGGAATTTTTACTTGAGTTATTTAATTTTATTTAATTGCTAATGTAGTATGCACTTGATGAGGTACAGTGAAAGGCAAGAAATGGTGCAAGCTATTGTTTGTGACTAATCAGGAGTTTTTTAAAATCAGTTATTATAGGCCGAAAGGTGCATATATTGCAATCTAGCTATAAACTATAACACAACATACCTGTTAAACGTGAAAACAGAAAATATAAAAAAAAGTTGCAGCAAAAACAGACAATTTGTGAATAAACTCTATAACTGAAATAATATATTGAATTATTTCACCTGTTTGTGTGCCACTTTGACAGCTGGCGCCTAATTCTCCAAACAAGAATATAACAGTTGGGTTTCCAGATGTTCGTTGGCATCAGACTGCTGATCGTGGCTATGTTCCAAATTCGGTCATGGAGAATGTCTTCATGGCTGTGGCAATAGATTTGCCAGATTTCAACTCCACTTATGGCTCGTAAGTTTCTGCAATTCTCTGTACTTTTTTAAAGAAAACTATTTTACCAGTATGTTGCTGTAACATATATGTTTTGTTTCCTTCAGTAAATTACCCAGTTAAGAAACTGCAGTTCATAAATCATTTAAGTAAAGACTAAATATTCAAGTTGTAAGAGGTTTTAAGCATAGAAACAGACTAAATTAACTGCCTGTTTGTACTTTTTTTTGTCTCACTGTAGAGGTAATGCAGGGATCAGTTTCCTGCAGCAAAGACGCAGGAATAAGGGCACTGATCAGCATTCACACACAGAAGACATCCTCATCTAAACAGATGCGTCTGTGAAGCGCATATTAAGGTCAGCATGGGAATGCACAGCAGAAAGTGTGAGGAAACAGTAAAAGAGATCAGCAGTGCATACCAGGCAACTACATCAAGCATGACCATAGAGCACAAGCATGAGCAATAGAGCAAACACATGCAGTAATTGTATCAGACTCCATAAACATGCTTCAGAAAATAGCAACAGGCAGTATGCGCTCTCAGTGGGTAGAAAGCATTCAAAAATCACTCTTAACCTCACTCACCTGGAACTACACACCTGGTCATGCTGGCGTAAAGGGTAATGAGCAAGCTGACCAACTGGCAAGCATTACACCAATGCACATGGGAAGAAGCATGGACAGAACCGATATTATCAATGCTGTACAGACTGTGCTTGTGGATAATGATGAATCTCCTACACTAGCATGATTGTGTGACATGGGATTAAAGCATGGTGAAGCACGTCTATTCCACCTTCGAGGCCGAGCTAGGAGACATAATCAACCTCTCATAAAAACAATTAGTATAAGTACCTTGCAGTGGCTGCTGCATTGGAGAACTGAGCACACATGGGAATACCCAGTATGCAGTGATATCGTTTGTGATTTTTTGGGTATAGGCAGGAGGATATTTGATCTGGAGGGTTTAGTGTCGCATAAATGCATTTTATAAGGATTCAAAAGATAAAGGAGAGAAAAACAACAGAGGCCGTGTAATAAATCAAAACGTGATCATCCATAATCCATACCCACACTTAAAATAGTATGTAACACCAATGAAAACTGTGCAAACACATACAGCATGTACACATGCATTTGCATGCATACCTGTCCACCTGTATAGCTTCTATCATTTCTAGATTCTCTTTCTGTCATTACTGACACATAAGGCATTCACAATTTATATTCTTTGTTGCCAGTCTGTTACTTTTCTGCCCATGGTACCCTCCTTAATTTTCCATTCTACTCTCATTATCCAGGTTTCCTTTGGTCACCAATGTCTCCTTTTTTTTTCTCTCCAACTGATATCCCTAGGTGACCTGCATTGACTATCCTGACAGTAATGATGTAACAAGAGGCATACAAAGTAAAGGATCAGTTGTCAAACCTTGAGATGCATTTGGGTACAGAGCTGGCCCAGTACTCTTTAAAGATCAGTCTGCACTCAATAAATGCAGTATCACACAAGCTTCCTTTACTTCTCAGAGCACATTTCTTGATAACCATTTTTAGGCTGGGTCAAAATAAGGTACAAATCAGTTTTAATTCTTTCAGTACCAGAGAGCAGTTAAACTAGTTATCAATCATGTGCGATGTATACCTTGGTATTCTGGAAGTAAACAATCTTATTCAGAGTGAATTTAAACACGTGACCTCTGAATCAGCAAGCTGGCATGCTAACCACAGAACTACTATTACTCCAAGCAAGCGATGTCTCAAAGTATGCATTTATATTATTATGATTATTTCATGCATTGTATCCAGTGTGAGATATATCTGACATACCAAATTTTCCTTTGTATAAAAAAATTTTTTCTCAAATTTTTTAGTTTAAAATTGGGGGTGGCCCAGGTTGGGGGGGGGGGGGGGGGGGGGGGGGGGGGGGGGGGGTAAACCTGTACTTATTTCTGAATTGTGGGCTTGAAGAAAAATTGGGTTCATCTTATACATGATGGCATCTTCTATATATGGGGTCATCTTATACATGTGTATATATATATATATATGAGGGCATCTTGTACATGGGGGGCATCTTATACACATAGAAACATGGTAGTTTGTCTAATTTTTTTCTTTATTTGCATTCTATTAGTGTTCACCCTCGTGATAAAAAAGATGTCGGAGAGCGGTTAAGACTCAGTGGACTTGCTGTTGCATACGGGAAGTCAGAAGTCTTTCAGGGCCCATTTCCTGCACGAGGGGCTGTGACTTCACAGGGCCTGACATTTCTGTATGGTGAAAAATGGAACCTAGAAGTTAGGAGTACTGAAGGCTTTGAGGTTTGTTCATTATATAAACATATTAGGCTGTCTTTAACTTACTGATGTACAGTACCATATATACACAAGAAGACACAGGGTTACGAATACTAGCATTAGAGAGAATGTTGGATTAAGACCATGTCTGGGTTATATTCACTGACAAGAATGAAATGGTTTGGCCATATAGGGAGAATACAGCCATGCCAAATTGCTTATGAGACTTTTTACAGTAGAACCTCTGGAGGTAGGGAAAGAAAGACCAAGAAAGAGGTTTATAAATAATGTAGCCGAATCCTGCAAAAAGATGAACAAATCCATAAACCAAGCCACCTGAGAAGCATAAGACAAATATAGAAAACCACGACACTGGGCTACAGCCTGATATTAATGAGACGAGAAATAATGTCTATCACTGTCCCTTGTGAATTAAACTGACACAGACTGCAGTCTTAAAAAATCCAACAGCATACATGTGCACTGAATGCACAAGATAGCAGTCAGAAATAGCAGGACAACAAGTCCACCACTAGAAATGCAGTTCATCATTGATGGAAGCAGTACTTACACAGATTAGTAGTTGCACATCCAGTTGATTGCATAAGGCAGCACAAGTTCTCTGGCAACAGATCACTAATTATTTTCTGAATCTGCAGTTCACAACACAAATCTTACTGGGCACAGTCAGAAAGAATCCCAAATGAAATCTACACATTGTCACGCCATGCACTCAGCTCAGTAGCTGACTCCAATTGGCTCCATTGCACCAGGTTTGGTCTGTCTCGCTCTGCAGAACAGCTAGCTGCCTGCCAAGAGTATTGCACAAAGCACAATCATGACACTTCATGACACTTCATGACAAGCCCAGCTGCTGAACTGCTTAATTCTTTCCACGCCATACAGCACACCACATGTTCATGGTTGGCTCCACACATTGCATCTTTTTCTTAACCACCATGGTGTGGGAAATTGAAAAAAAAAAACATGTGGATTGTTCATGAGAAAACCTAAGATAAATGTTTATGTGAGAGAACAAACATGCCGAACTGGAATGGAATAGAAGAATAGATTGTGAGTTCATTGTGGCATATAAATGATACAATAAGATAAAAATGATGCAGTGCTGTTAGCATGATCTAGTTATTGTTTATAATGTTGTTTTTGTGGGAAAGATTATGTTCTTGTTTCCTAAAAAGTTTGAAACTATTGTTCTTTGGATGGTATTCTCTATGTTCTATAGTTATAGATAACTCTTTGCCCGGCTCTCTAGCGTAGTTGGCTAAACTGGATTGCGAGGAGACTGGGTGACGAACTCCTTGTGGTCCGGGTTCAATCCTGGGGTGGGCAGGAAAGCCACATTTTCTCCCAGATTTACGGTATTTACAATGGAATCAAGGCCAAAAGGTTGCGATATCCATAATACCGAACCTAAGGGTTAACAACTCATGGCTTCTGGATACTAAAACAAACAAACATAGATAACTCTTTCAGCCCCAGATAGTGGTCTGATTTAACAACCCTCTTCTACATATTAATTAAATTTTTAACTCACAAAATATTGTTTCTAAACCTATCCTTGAAATGTACAGTTCTTAAATCAACTCATGTTCCAGCTATTAATTACACTCGAATAACACCATTTAATTCCCATGTAATTTCCTGCTACTTTTGTAAGCTGGGTCAACATGGAAGCCAAAGCCATACTTGCGTGTGGCCGACAGGCAACTGTGCTAGTCACTTGCTATCTTTGTTTCCTAGGTTAACAGTAGTAAATGGAGTTTCTTCTTTCACAACCAACCATTTATTAAACACCATCATTGTCATCATCAATTTCCACTTCTGCCGTTAAGCGTTGTGGAGAGCAACAGTTTGCGATCCATTGCTTGATGGGCAGCAGTGGCAATTGTCATTCCATGGCAATGTAGAAGCTCTTTAATGTCATCAATCCATGTTCTCCTTGCTTTCACTTCAGATCTAGTTAGTTAGTTAGTTAGTTAGTCGACAGATTATTCTCATTGCACATCGAACCATTCAGTCCATAAGTGCTCGGATCACCTCTTTAGTGAATCCCCCAGTGGGTAGCGCCTCACAGCACCAGTTCTGTGTTTGTTTCTTATTCTTCTTTGCCTTCCTGCATAGTGCTCTTGTCTGACCATACCCCTATTAACTCTTTGAGTCCCAAGGAACGTATCATACGTTCATAGGTTACTAACTAGAAGCCCAATGAACACATGATGCGTCGATTTTACGTCTCTTTTGACTACCCCTTGGGCCTCTAATGCTAAACCCCCTGGGACTCAAAGAGTTAACATTTGTTTGAGCAGTCTGGTCATTGTTGCAGATCACAGTCATCACTTTGTTCTCACAAACGTCTTACTTCTTGGAAAGCATTCAGAATGTCAGCTTGGTCCTTGGTTCGTCCACCATCCACCGTAGCTTTACCCTGCAATGGTAGTTGTTTTGGCTGCATTGTTACTAAATGACTAAATCATTTGATCTTCTGTTTCTCACTAAATTTGCTGCATGATGTTGTTCCTACAGTCTGTCTGATAATATAATTTCTAACTTTGTCTCGGCTGGTTAAGTTGGTGGCTTTTCTCAGGCATCTCATTTCACAGGTGGTAATCTTATGTAGGTTAGCCATTGATAGTGTCCATGTCTGGCACTGGTAGCACAGTGTTGGTATGAAAAGGCTGTTTCTTGGCACTCATACTTATGTTTGGATGTCTTAATAATGGCATCAGTTGGTATATACGTGCACTGGCTCATGACATCTTGTTTCTATTTCCTGATCTATTCTTCCATCATCAGAAAATGTACTTCCTAAATATTTAAATTCTTTAACTTGCTTCAGACAAGTACCATTCACCCCGATATGTAGTGGATTAGGAATTCTGCTGACCTGCATTGCTTCAATTTCTGTAGTATTTATTTTCATGTTATATCTTTTGCATGTTGAACTTAGCCTGTTTAAATGGTCTTGCGGTCTACTCCCCTTACTATAGAACAGGCACTGATCATCTGCAAAGCTTGTTTATGGTATGGGGATCTAGTTCTTCCTCTGGAAAGTTCCTGATTTTCTGGGTCGACTGCTTTAAAACTGGCTTCTTTGGATATTCTATCTATGTTTATATTAAATAAGAAAGGAGAAAAACACATCCCTGCCTCACCCCTGCATTAATTGTAAACATATCAGACATGCTTTCTTGTGTTCTCACTGTTCTTTTAGAAGTGTGGTACATGGCCACGATGTTATCTAGCAACTATCCTTGAATCCCATAATCCTCAAGAATAGCCCATAGTTTGTTTCTATCTACTCTATCAAAAGCTTTTTCTGGATCTACAAACAAAGTATTCAGTTCATATTCAATGGTTTTCTCATTAAATACCATGGTATAATGATTAATGGGCTTGCCTGCAGAGACAATGGTTCAGGTTCACTTTTCAGAAGTGACAAGATTTTCCTCAAATCCCTGCTGCTTAGGGATCAATCAAGCCTCACTACACAATAAATTCCAGAACTTTCTGTGAGTTGTATGTGAAAGAAACAGGATGAGGTAGAGAACTGGCTAGCCCTTCTGATGTCATGGCATAGAATATGTGAAGGCCCAACGCTTCTCATCCCAACAGAAGTATCTGCAGTTGGACTACCTTTAACCATATGGTTTAGAATGACCAGGGTTAATCTTGTGTGTCAAAGTGGCCTAAGTGATAGCATGTTTCAAGAAAATTGTGTTTGAATAAAAGTGAAAATTATGTAGGTGCATGAAAAATAATACCTGTTGTGAAGTAGGAGTTCACATGAGTGCCTTTGGAAAATTTTAAAGTGACAAAAAGCAGCCCTGAAAATGCACTAAAGTGAAAATAACAAAAACTGCACTTACATTCTTTGGCGTAGCACTGATATTATTATCTTTATCTTATAGTTCATGTCATATGGTATTGGTAAAAAGCAGTAGGGCTAGACCTACATTTTATAGACCAATCGATACTTGGTGGACAATTTGGTCAGTATCACGCTGGCCACCTTTACTTCCCAAGACTGCACCTGGTACCCCCCAAAGGCTGGGTCAGCCTGGGAGCCAGTGTCAATTTTGAAAAAAAGTCCAGCTTCCTCAGGACCCGAACCCATGACCTTCCGATCCACAGGCGAGTGTATAGCTGCTAGACCATAGTGGCTCTCGTGTAGTATTGGTAGCCATGTCTTTACAGCCTTCTGTGTACTGTCAATCATATGATTGTTATATTATGCACATATCTGATTTCAGTTGCAGTGTGCCAACAATGAATGGGTTCCTGCCCCGGTGATTGGAAACGATAACACAACAGTCACTGTCCGGTTTAATGTATGTCCTCAGGGAGAGGACATAAAAGGGATACGCTATGAGTGGAGAGAATCACCTTGTGAGTTTAAGAAGTGTGCTGTTTATGAAACAGTGAATGGTCTACCAGGTCCACCATTTATTATTGGAGACAGTGAAATTATCGATGGAAAACAGTGGTTTAAGTTTGGTGGTCCTGTGCAGCTTTAAGAAGACACCTTTAGTTATTGTTCATATATGTTTCTTTACTATAGATAATAGTATAAATGTTATTAAAGCCATAATTGTTTTATAAATATAGCTATTCTGTAGATTTTAAAAGCATTTTTCAGTAGATGCTGACTGAGTGACTTACTTTCTGCTCCACCAAGATATAACACTGAGCGATAAACACCCGGTGACACAAAATACTACCATTTGGATCACCCATGGAGAGGTCACAGAAACCACATTAAACCGTTGGTTATATTAGGGCTCCCAGCAACAACCACAGTGGTACTTCAAAATAGCAAAAAATTAATCCCACAATGGGATGGAGATTGCTACTAGTGGATGCTATAGAACTTTTCTTTGTATATGTTTCTAATACCATACAATTGAAAAGTGATAACATAATATTTATAATCTCTTCTATTTATATTTTATAAAGGTAAACTCGTATCGTAATTACTAGAAACTATTTGTGGTCTTTCATCAGAAGCATTTCTGTTCCATTTTACAAGGCTTTCCCATCTTGTCCCAACAATTAATTGTGATTTTGTGTACTGTTCTAATAATATCTGTTATGGATAAACATGAATTTTTGTATCTGTGTGGTCAGCAAACTAAGAAATATATATGCAGATGTAAATTTATAAACATTGTGAGTTTTTACTACTAATCCATGCTCCAGAAGGGAATAATGCTCTTTAAACATAATAAACATCTATGATACCATTTGATTGAAGCTAAAGCAATGGAATTGAGGAAAAATTTTGTGTATATTATTCTTTCTTGAGAAATAGTGTTTTAATTATGCACCACTAATGTTGTCAGTAGATATGGTAGTTAGCAATAGACTTGTTATCCAACATATGCTATCTGGGTTTTGTTACAATTAAGCTATAACATACTGGCAAGTAACTTGGCTTATGTTGACCGTTCTCGTTGCCGCTTCTCCTTAAGTTTCGATGTTGCAAGATTGTGGAAGTCTGGTTTGCAGCCGGATCTACTGAGTTTAGTGCCCCTGGCGGCACTATGAGCTGTGATTGTTGGTTATTGACCAAGTTCCAGATTCCTACATAATGGCAATGATGGGTGATGTATTTTTCTTCAATGTGTTCCTGGGACAAGGCGTGTGTCATAGCTGCTATTTTTTTGCTGGCCGTGGCTGCAACTTGGCTGAGGACATGTGGAGAATGGTCAGGAATAGTTTAAATCTACTCGCCCAGCTATTCATCTGATAAAATTGATTTTCGGAGATGATGCCTGGTCTCGCAGTGTGTTTAAGGAGGCATGCACCTTATTGTTTGCCAGATCAAATTGTGTGTGTTTTGCTGACTGAGAACACTTTGTATAGCTTTGGCATACACTTGAAGTATCCAGCGTATCTGACTCAGTTTGTGTTTGGAATCACTGGCATAGGTGGTTGAGCAATTATGGACCAAGCTCGTTTGCTGTGATGCCGAAACTTAACGACTAACTAAGTAACTAACTATACTGGCAAGTCAAATAAGATGTTTCTAATTGTTTGATAACATTGACATTTCCCTCTTTGCTGCAGCAAGTTTATAGTTTTTACTTCAGTGTGTTTTGGATTTACCATAACATTATCTGTATAATATGCACAGTACTCATTTTTGAGCAGCTTAAACTCTGGCGTGTATTATACGCAAATACTCAACATCCATTATTTTTGTATTGAAAGTAAAGTTCATGAAAAGCCTGTCAAATGTTTATCACAATTTGACAATGAAAATGGCAGGAAGTTGAATGTGCCTTGTATTTTTTTTTTGCATCAAATATTTTTGAATATTGCATTTTGTTCTCTTAATCTCATCATGGATTAATAGAAAAACAAAGGAGGCAGTCCTTCTAAAGATGAATGAAAGTCGTAGACTGATCAGAAAAACATTTTATGTGCCAGTCATGTGTTTCAGATATGTTGTGAGAAGGAATAGACTTGAGAACTTGTTAACACCAGACAAGATTGACGGAAAGAGAGCAAGGGGAAGAGAAAGCTTAGCCATATTGATAGATGAGACAAGAACTTTGACCTGATCCGTGATTCTGGTGATTGTACGAGATGGTGAAATATGACAGCCTGCATTTATCGGTGCAGCACATAATGATGATGATGAACCTACACAATTTTCAGACTTTAAGAGAAAAATACCTTCATGAAAAAAAAAATATGTAAAGTAAAAATTTCACAGAACAAAGAGTTTTGATTACTTTTTTTATCAGCCAGCAGTTATAAATACCACTTAAAACTTTGAAACAAATATTTTTCAACAAATGTTACTACTTAACTACTTGAAAAAAAAAATTCTGAGGCATTCTGTGCTTTGCCATTATATATAATAACAATAAACAAACAGATAATGTGTTAATTGGCACTCTTCGAAAGAAAAAGAAAGAAGAAAGGACACGCTAAAATATTTTCTAGCAAAATAACCACTTAACACTTTCTGGAAACAAATATCTTTTTTCAGACATAACTATTTAATACTTCGTGGAAATAAATGTTACCTAGAAACTTAAACTGCTTGAGATTGGTGAAACTTTTTAAATTTTACTACAGCCAAAGAAGGGATTTAATTATATTTAAATGCTAAATAATTTTTATCAAGTTGAATAATAAATGAAAGAATTTGTCTACACAGATACTCTTTGATTTTGTGGAGAAAATGTGCTAAAACTCAAATTAATTGTTACAAATTGGAAGCAAAAGATAGTGAGGAATATATGTTAATCCCTCTGCTTTTCTGTGAAATTTATAGTCATAGCACAAGAAACATTTGAATGTGGTGTATTTAAATAATGTAAATTTATTTATTTGTTGAGTGTTTTACTTGACATGACAAAAGAGATATTTGATCCTATATTTAAAATTATTTTACAGTTTGGAATGTAAGTTAAAGATTGTATTTTGTCCATGAGTTCACCACCATCCATTATTGATTAACACACTATTAGACATACTAAAATGCATTAGGTTTATGAATTTGATAGTGGAAAGAAGAATATGGAATTGTAATTATAAGTCACATTAATTATATAAAATGACCATAATTACTAATTAAAGATTTAAAATTATGCCTTTCTTTGAAACAACACGTACATTGCACGGTGGGTCTAGGAAAACCTGTGGGCCATGAACCTTTTTTTTGGGTCGAACAAACTTTTCACATGGGGGGTTGCAAAAGACCATCAGAAAACACATTTTCATTAAAGTTATAAAGCAGTTATGAAAAAATTGAAAATTGTATGTTTGGAGGTTGCCACAACATTAGAAAGGGCCGCAGCATTATGAAGGCTGAGAGCCACTGAATTTACAGCTGGTGAACGCAAAGAAGAAGAAGAAGAAGAAAAAAAAAAGAATCACGTTTTAGGCGTACCTGTTTCTTTGTTTACCAAAGTCTAATATGTTTAAATAAATTTTAAAAATAATAAATAATTATAAAATGAATTAAATCTGCTGTTGTAATTACTTCATGTTATTTTTGTTATCTTTGAAACATATAATCTTAATCTGGATTTACACTGATTCGGAAAAGAGTATGAGAGGTAGAGATAATAATGATATCATTATCAACGTAATTTTCAATGTGTAACTTGCTAAATGGTGTTCACATTTCTCCACATATCTCAGTTCTTGGTGTTCAGGATCAATTCTGTTGACTGTGTGCCTCTATCGCACCATCTTGGGATCCACCTTTGGTCTAGCGGCTTTACACTTGCCTGTGAATTGGAAGGTCATGGGTTTAGGTTCTGATGAAGCCTGACTTTTTAAAAATGACCTTGACTCAGGTTGACCCAACCTTGAGTGGGTACCAACTATAGTCCTAGGAAGTAAAGATAAGCGATATGATGTATACTACATTAGTGACCAAGTGCAGATTGGTCTATAAAATACAGATCTAGCCCTATATGCCAGTACGCCTGAAGGCATGTAAAAGGATCCTTTTGCCCTACAATCTCAGATTATTCAGCCTAATTTCTTTCATTTTTGTCTCTGCTTCTTCTGCTGTAGAGTTTTGTATGTTTAAAACCCCTTGACTGCCAGAGTAACTAACGAGGATTGCTTGAAGAAAGCTAATGAAAGCAGATCAATATATACAGCTATAAGGAAATAATGCACTGTTCTTTGGTCAAATGACGAGGGGGGAGGCTTTGGAGAATATTGTGACGACTGGGTAGAAGAGGTAGAGGTAGACGAAGAGAAATGGTGACGGATGGACTGTGACGCTGGCATGGAGGGATATCACTGGTGCCAGGGGGCAAGGGATGGAGATCTGTGGAGATGCATGAATGCTTACACCATCTGCAGGGCATGTGATGATGATGATTCTTCTACTACCAGATTTTCCAGACATCATACGGTGCCCCAGTGTCTCTCTTATTCATTTTATGACCAGAGTTGCATATCATCATCATCATCATCTCATAACACTACAGGTCATTGGGTCACCAGTTTCTGTTGACTGTCAGATCAGCTCTCTCCACCTTTGACGGTCAGTTGTGATGGACTTCATGGTTGCATGCCTAAGGTCTGTCCAGTCAGTCAGGTTCTGTAACCAGGTCTCTTCTCCTCTTTCCCTCTAACGAGCCCTGCAGTATTGTTTTTGAGAGGCCGTTAGATCTTATTACATGTTTCTTTCAAGTTCAGCTGTTAAGGTCCACGTTTCACAGCCATATGTAAATGTACTAATAGCTAGTGCTCTGAGCCATTGAATCTTAGTTTTGCATGAAATTTTTTGGGATCTCCATAATGTTTGCTGCTTGGCAAGGACTGATGTTTTTTGGGCAATCCTAGACATTATTTCTGACCCCAAGTCACTTAAAATGGATCCTAAATATTTGAAATGAGTCACTTGTTCTAATTTGTGGCCTTTGACGTATATTGGTGAAATTCTGCCAGCTGAATTATTTTTCAACTTTGCCAAGCAAATTGTGTTAACTACTCTTGGCGTTAAAGATACCCACAACATTCATCTAAAAAATCACATCTCTATTGTCTCCACTCCAAACTGTTCCTAATTTATTTGTCCAGATTCCAAGTTTCACTGCCATACAGCAGAATAGGTAGTTTATAGGGTAGTTTGGCAGCTGAGTCTGTATTTAGGTTACAATACATTCCTGTTCATAAATACAGTTGCTTATGTAATGTGTAGGTATGTATGTGGAAGTGTGTATGTGCATGTGTGCGAGCGTGCATGCCTGAGTGTCAGTGAGTGAGTGTGAATGAGTGTGAGTGAGTGAGTGTGAGTGAGTGAGTGAGTGTGAGTGAGTGAGTGAGTGAGTGAGTGAGTGAGTGAGTGAGTAAACTAACAAATGAACAAACAAACAAACTTTATTTTCAAAGGGTCACAAATTGGGCATGCAGACCCTTCTTACACTGGGCTTTTCCAAACACTCACTTTTCACACAGCAATTGTGTTTTATAAAAAAAGCATGTCATGTTCATATAACATGCATAATATGAATAGAAAAAAATACACACAAAAAACATTGATGGTAAAATGCATGTGCACATGCCACCCCACTCATGCATTCACTCACTCACTCACTTACTGTAGGTACATTCACAAATACTTGAATGCCTTCATTCACACTCACACACATGCATACACACATACACACATATGTACGTACATGCATACACAAACACACATACATACATGCAGTGAGAGAAAGAGGGACAATATTTTTTCTTTCTGCAATGCTTCAGAAAACACACCGCATCAAAGGAGATTCCTGTTGGGTGACCCTTTAGCTCACATCTCACCACTGGCTATGTTGTCATTTCTACACATATGTCTGATAGTATGTTCTGCCGAACCATCTGCTAGCCGCCTCTCCTGCTCTTGTTTCATTTAGTCTCACCCACAGCATCAACCAGGGGTCGCTTCATGTCAGCTGCTACAGCCTGGATCACTTTGTCGTCTGTCGTGAATGAACAGCAAGGCCATACACTGCATGTGCATGCACACACACACACACACACGCACCACTCACATAAATTAAAGTAATAGCTACATCTTTTTACCAGGCATATTCTGATATTTCTATAGACCCAGTTGCAATAAATGAGCAGTGTCGTTATCATACTGACCACCTTTACTTCCAAGAATAATCTTGTTACACATTTTAGGCTGTATTGACCATAAGCATTAGGACCCTTTTCCACGCTTCAGGCTTATATGGGGCTAGACCTATATTTTATAGACCAAACCGCATGTGGTGGGTGATGTGGTCAATAAACGCCGGCCGCCTTTACTTTCAAAGACTGTACCTGGTACCCACTCAAAACTGGGTCAACCTGGGAGCCAAGGTCATTTTTGTTTTGAAGTCTGGCCTCCGTCAGAACCCACACCCATGACATTCTGATCTGCAGGCAATCGTCTAGCCGCTACACCTTGGCGGCTCTCACAAATAAAAAGAAGAAAAATGTTTCAAATGTGTGGCAAATATCAAAAGGTGTCTATACACCCCTGATAATTTCACTGTTTAATACTTTTTGTGCACTGTTTATGTACTAGACTCAAGGACACATCATATGTTTACTTTAAGTTATCTAGTTACTTTATCAAAATATGTTTTAATTAATTATTCCACTTTACTGATTAGGTTGATATCAGCAGCAAGTTTTCCAGTCACTCAAGGTTTGTGTATAATTAACCTATTTTGTTATCAACAGAACTGGCTGACCTATCTAAAATGCTAAGTTGCAAAAGCGTTTCATTAGCTTAAAGATCAGTCCTATCTATGGATTTACCTTAAAATCAGTGTTTCTCAAACTGTTTCAGATCTGCACTGCCTGTCGGTAACAGGCTATTTTATGAAACTTTGAAGTTTTAAACAAATTAACTCATTATCTCATGCGTTCATTATTAATATTTTTTGAAAAATCACAAAGAGATTGAAAAGCTAACCATAAATTTCTTTTATTTTTTTCACGTGGACTTCTAGTAATGTCCCCTGGTCTGTGGGAAGTAAGACAGGATGCCCGCGTTTATTGTTGCGCACATGAAAAATACTTTGGCAGTTGGAAATAAAAAAGAGTAGCCTAACAGCATTGCCTGGGCAAACTTTGGAGTTAAAAATCTACCCAAACTAGTTCAGGATCCTCGTCAGTGCTACAGAATTGTGTGCACTGCGATGCAAATTCTTTGGACTCAGGCTTGAGTTAGAAGTAGAATGGAGCACTTATGAGTTACTATCTTTGCACCATGATGTTGATCCATTGTTCAAACCAAACCTATGGGTCAGCCTGGTAAAGTTAGTTGCATATCTTTTACAGGACATTGCAGAACGAACCATAGCATTTATTTTTGGCTGTTTATGGTTTGACTAGGCAATTTTTACGTTGAATTTTTTTTGGGCATAGTTTCTGAACATTCAGCTCTTGATACCACTGTTGAAACCAAAGCAAGACGGTCTGCTGCCAGCTTGCCCATATCTGAGTTTGAACCCAGCACTTCGGAAGAAGTGATTTTGGATAAATTCAGTTTAATAGGGAACAAAATCTAATAATGCAGTTTTGCCAGGCATTGCAGTACCACATCTAACTATTTCTGGTTTTGTTTCATAGATTTATTTGGTAGGATTCCTTACACTATACACAAACTTTCTTTTAAATTTGTCTATGAAGGTTTTTTTTTTTTACTTAAAAAACAACTGTTGTGAAATATACAGGGCATTTTGAGAACCTTGAAAAACAATTGATACACACCTATTTATGTACTGCACCTTACAAAGACTTGACACATATCATAGTAGCACAACTGATTAATAATTCTATCCCACAGTAGAAGTCTTGACCTCCAGGTTGATCCAGCCTTGAGTTACCAGCTGCAGTCCTGGGAAGTAAAGGTGGCCAGCATGATGTTGACCACATCACCCACTGTGTGCCAGTTGGTCTATGAAATATAGGTCTAGCCCTATATGCCCAATACACTTGAAAGCGTAGGAAAAGAGATAGAGGAACACAACACAAGATGATTTTTGGCAGACTTTATGATGGCATGTAAGGATGTCAGCACATGAACTGATACATACTGTTGGTGACCACATGATGGGGAGAGGCATGATTGTCCAAACCTAGTAAGCAAGGCACTTGATGACAATGATAATGGTGTATATGTGCCAAGCAGCATAAGAATATTTTGTATAAATATCTTTGTCCATTTTTATCCATATCATAATTTGTGAAAGTCAATTGGGGCAATCAACTGATTAATGAGGAATTATGCTGAATCTATAGGGATGTGATTTTATAGAAAAAAATTATGAGAACACTGTGGACTGATAACAAGTGCAATGAAGATGTCTTGAAAAGAAACAAAAAAGACTCACAAAGAGAACTTGTTATCTGTGTCAGAAGAAGACATTCCATATTATTTGAGCATCTTCTTCTTCTTCTTCTTCTCTTGATGTAAGGATCGTTTATGCTCTTTTTCCAATGCATTGTACACGTTGGTGTTCATTTCTGTTAGGTTGCTCCTGAGGATGTCGCTTCATTTCTTGTGTGGTCTTCCCCTTGCTCTGTGTTTATTAAATTTTTTCAGAGGGCTCTCTGGGGCAGTTGGTTCCAGGGCATTCTCATCAGTGGCCAAACCATCTCATTTGTTGTTCTTTAATAAGTCTTCTTCTAATTTCTTCATTCCTGATTTTATCTCTTCTTGATTTGATTTGATTAAAAAAAAAAAAAACTCTTTTCTTGTCACAACAGAAGCTTTCCTAAGACATCTCATCTCTGTTGTTATGATCTTCCGCTCATTAGTTGTAGTAAGGGTGCATGTTTGGCACTGGTAGCGCAATGTCGGCCAAAAAAAACTGTTTTTATGAGATTTGTGTTGATTGACAATGGTATCTTTCTATGCGTCAGGAACAGTGTTAATTGTCCCATAATCTGATTTGTTTACTCACATCATATGTTGATTTCTCTATCCATTCTTCTATCTGAGTTTGCCATAAAAAAAAGATTTAAAAAAAAAAACAGTACATAAAAGTATGTCAGGATAACAGCAGAGTTCGAGGAGTTGGGCAGGGGCAGAGCAAAAGAAATGTTAGAAACTCCATCATCATGGCATTTAGTAAATTCATAATAGAAAGGACTAGCAGTACTTGAGACAGAAGGCTCTGGACATATATAATGACAAGGCCACATGGCATTAATTACAGCAAGGAGTTTTGGTGGTGAGATATTATTTAAAACAAAAGAAAACAAACAAATAACATCAAACTTTGGACTAAATAACCTGATATGATATACCTGACAATATTGGTAATTTGTTGATACTATCTCAGAAATTATTGCTGACTTAAGTTATAACAGTTATCTTTTAAGGACCGCTTTTATCTGTGCCACTTTTTCCCCACACACAAACACACGCACACATTATTATTATTTTTTGAGTCCATTAAAGTACTAATGACTAGAAGTTGGACGCATAAATAGTGGGTAATAGGAAGTGGGCAACAGACAATACCACAATGACACAAACTAGTTTCAGAATTCTGATTTTGGCAGCTGCAGTTTTGTTAATACAAACTGTATGGGCAAGAAGTGCCCATCATGAATTGTTGAAAGAAAAGGAAAGTATGTTTATGTTACAATTAATTATTTGAAAAATTTAATTAAAATTTACATCAACAAACATATTTTAAATTGTTTAAGTCTATTAATACTGAGAAAATTGATAAGCATTATAATAAAATTTTTAAAACAAGAAGAACAAAACAAGTTTTGTTTTGCAGTAGAAAGGTATATTAAAAATAAATTACAGTTTTTAATATTCAAGCTAATTTAAAAAAAAAATAGAAATGATAATACACCTACAGCAGGGTGGGAACAAAGTAACATTTATACACAGTAATGTTTCTGACATCATAATGTTTGCAGCATTATAAATTGTTATGACACTCAGTAAACCAATGTTATACATTGTGACAGTTAGCAAGTTGCAGAGGAAGAGAAGTCAATGGAGACCAAGAGTGAAATATGCCGGACAGTTTAGCATCATGGCGTGAAACAACATCTGTATCAGAAATGATTGACAGTACACTTCATATTATAATCTGTCCCAAAGTGGGAAAAGAAACAGTGTTTTTATATTAAAATTTCACCCTGGCTTAACTTCAGGTTACTTTGTAACCATTCTCGGGAGCTCTAATATAACCTTATGGTTAAACAGGGCTTCTGGGACTTGCACCTGGGGGATTCTCATCCGAATGTTGGCACTTTGTGTCACTTGGTGTTAATCGCTCATTGTTGGTCCTAGTAGGCTTAAATGGCATTTGCTCTTAAATACAGTAAATGAGTTGAAGCACATGCAGATCACACTTATGTGATTAATTGCACAAACAGGTTCATGATGCAAGCTTTACGAGAAATATCGGCAACCCAGAAATGTTGGTGAAAGATTGGCACAGAAAGAGGGAGAAGAAGAGAGCTGGCCAACTCACTTCAAAATGCAGATGCAGAAATATGTGAAGTTGCAGCACTCCACACTCCAGTGCCAGTTTATGCTATTGGATTACTGATCAGTTAAAATGTAACATCCAGATAAATAGAGGCATTCTCAAGCAGTTGAACTGATATATACCTGTTACAATGTAACATATAAATAAATAGGAACATTCCTAAGCAGGTTAACAGATATATACCTGTTACAATGTAACATATCAATAAATTATGTAATAAAACTTATGTATTTCCATTATTCAAGCTGAGACCCATTTCGTCATTGTCTGCCACCACCGTATCTATCAAACCCCTGTAGTTTTTTCTGACCGGTCACTATCAAGATGGTGTCATCAGCATAACATAGGTTAATTATGTTGTGACTAGCAACCACAATACCTGGCATATCCCTGATAGATCTCATTATATGTTCACTGTATAAAAAAAAAAAATCAGGTGAAAGTACACATCCAGAATGTCTTCTTCTTCTTCTTTCATTCGTCTGAAATAAGTTGTCTATATCAGCAGTTTTGTCTCTTGTATAAATTTCACTGTCGTTGTTAGTTCATTCAGTGGTCCATAGAGTTTGCGTTCCACTGTTGTTCTTTCTGGCCAAAAGGTTTGCCTTAATGTGTCAAATTCGGTGCAGTCCTGGAATACATGCTCTGCTGTCTGGGGCTCATTTCCACAGGTGCACATGGTTGATACATAACACATCCAGTGATCACCTCTGCTTATTGTCAGATATTTAAAAATTTTATATTGTCTTTAATTTACAATGTCAAGTTACCTTGTCATACTATTTATCTGCAGAGAGTATCTACAAAGAAGAAAAGATAGAAGAAGCTGAGGCTGTGACATTTACTTTTGCCAAGCACTTTCAAAACCACCTAGTACTGCAGCGAGAGCCTGCAAGAGCTAATATCTATGGCTTCTCCCCAAATGTCGGTGAGACAGTTAATGCCCAGGTACTTACATCATTTTTTTACCTGTTTATTCAGGCATTTTAATACTTCATGTATGAAGCTCTAGATCAGTGGCTGTCAACCTTCCTTATGTGGTGACCCTTTAATACAGTTCCTCACGTTGTGTTGTAGCAACCCCCAACCATGAAATATTTTCGTTGCTACTTTATAACTTCAGTGAATAGGTGTTTTCCGATGGTCTTTGGCAATCCCTGTGAAAAGGTCATTCAACTCATAAAAGGGTTGTGATCCACAATGAGAACAGCTGCGTTAGACAGAGCTAAGGGTCACAGTCTGAAAAGAGAAAGGTATTGGATAACGCAGGTAGAAAATACGATTAGATATGTGTGCATGCTCAAAAATATTGAGCGAGGAGTGGAGTTGGCCAAAGTGTCAGGCAACAAACTTGTTTAGGGTTCTAATTATGCTGGGCCTAACAACTGATTGATGACAATCCTGCCCAGTTGATGTGGTTATCTACACAGAAGACTTTGTTGAGCAGCAGAAGTGCATGGGGGTTCATAGCAAAGGTGAGTGTATGCTCTTTAGTATAACTAAGCCAGGCATATTATACCACAACCTCTAGTTTGAGAATGGAGATGGAGGCAGTCATTACAGCCTTCTGCTGGCATAAGAACCAGCTGCACACACGTCATGATTGTAGCAGACACACAAGGCAGGTTGAGAAAGGGGGCAGATAATCATAACAGTCTGAAACGAGTGGTGCATAAGGGAGTGACCAAGGCATCTTGCTGACCCTCAAAACACTCAGAACGAACAAACAAATGAACAAACGAACAAACGAACGAACAAACAAAGGAACTGTTCAGAGGAAAATTAAGACGTCATACTGCTACTGGTACCATCAAACTTGGAACTTTGCACTGCCTCCTGAAGATGGGGATGGAGTGCTTATGGAATGTCTTGAGTGCTATGTTCTTAATTCAATATTAATGCTGCTTTAAAAAAAAATTAATTTAAATGCACTCTAAAGTGTATAGTTTTAAAATAAAGTTACATATTTTTTAGTTTAAGATTATTTCAAAACATATGCAGGGGAAAGTTGGAGAACCACTAAAGGCATGAAACGAAAGTTAAATGCATTCAAAAACAACTGTCTGAGAAAAATGACGAAAATAAAATGGAATGAATTCAAAAGGAATGAAGAAGTAAGAAAAATGTCTGGGCAACCACTAGTATCAACAGTTATAAGACAGAGAAGATGGCACTACATTGGACACATCCTGAGAGGAAACCAGCAGAATCACCAAACAGGCATGAAAATGGAAAATAAATTGATGAAGGAGACAAAGCTGCCAAAAAGAAATCCTTAGATGAATGTTTGATGAGAGAGGTCAGAGCTGCTGGACTGGACTCGATCCATGATATTGAACTAATCACACAGAATAGAACGGAATAGAAGAATAGACTGTGAGCCCTAGGTGACATATAATGACATATCAGGATAACGAATGAATGAATTTAAATGCACTATCTTCAACTTCATGGTAAAACAAAACTCTTCAATGAGACTGAATTTAAGATACCCATAATGTGATTGCTATAGACCCATTTTATGAATTATTTATTTACAACATATAACTAACAAATATGTCAGAGACAAAATATACAAATTTGCAGGACATCAGGAGCCTCTCTTGCAGTGGTGAAACTTTGCAAGCTAGCTTGGTTTGGGCACATGGTGAAATGATTCGATTGCATAGACTGTTCCCATGAATGAAGATCTTAGTAAGATCAACGAATTACTCTTTGCAGAAGACCAGGCCTTGATAGCAGATACAGCCATGAAATTGCAACATCTAACATCTATAAATGAAGAATGTAAAACAAATAATATGAGAATCAACACTGAAAAGACAGAAGTAATGTCAATAGGAAAAAAGAAGACAGATCTAAACATAGCAATAGAATACAAAGGCATTAAACAGGCATCTGAGTTTAAATATCTGGTAACTACATTTACCGAAGATGGGAAATTGGATAAAGAAATTGACATTAGATGCAGTAAAGCAAACCAAGTATTGGGACAGCTAGCCCCCCTCTTACAGCATAAGACAATCCCAATCAGCACAAAGAGACATTTTTTTCAAAGCATATTTATTCCAACTCTGTGCTACCAGTGCCAGACATGGTCACTCACAACAAACCATAAAATAAAATTAGTAACCACGGAAATGAGATGTCTGAGAAGGGCTGTAGGAGTGACCATAAGAGATAAGATCAGGAATGAGATCATAAGAGAACAAGTCGGCACAGAACCAATTCTTGATTACATACAAAGACAGCAAGTGAAATGGTTTGCCCACTTAGAGAGAATGCCTTTTGACACCATACCATACAAAGCATACATGGAAAGAGAAGAAGGACGTAGAGCACGGGGTAGACCAAGAACAAGATGGAAGGATAACATCAGAGAAACTCTACAACAGCACGATGTGCCTATGGTCGAGGCAGCCACAAGAGCTAGAAACAGAACCTTATATCTCCCTCGACACCCACAGCGGTAAAAGAGGAAGTGAAGAAGAAGCATAGACTGTACTTCAAGGAACATTGGGGGATAGTCAAACAAGAACCTGGAATGACATCAAGAAATGGACAGGACTAAGTTATTACACACTTGTTCATCAAGCAGAAGACAGAGAAAGTTGGCGGGTTTTATGTGTTAGTGCTTTCACTAACTGGTCAATGATTATATTATATTATGTTATAATAGTATTATGTTAAAATAGTAGGCTTCCAGCATGAACATTTTCAGTTAAATAACTGCATACACATATAACCCATAGGTATGTGAATGGGTACACACGTGTACATGGAGTATTGTATATATGTATTGTATTTATGTCCAGGAACAGATGGTACTTTGTATAAGTCTGTATCTGCTATTGCATATTATTTTGTGTTTTCTAAAGGCTATCTCAGTTTGTTCCATCATTATCTTTTCTAACCATTTGACCACTTCATGATTTCTTAGTCTTGTCAAGAGCTCCTGCATGTCAACTTTGTCAACACAACAGACAATGATTCAGTGAAGATGATGATGTTTGGAGTCTTCCATATAAATTTACTAGACTAAACTCAACTCATTTACCAGACTATTGGTTGTTTTTACATTTGTTGAGTGAACATAGCAATCCTAACAGACACTCACAAGTATCCTGCTCATCCTAATGCTTTACTCCCTACTCTGTGACAAATCAGAGCATGACAGTACAGTGGCTAGCATGTTGTCTGATGGTCCAGTTCTCCTTGATGTTCAGGTCATGCAGGATGTTGTTTATGAGCCAGTTCTCCTTGATGTTCAGGTCATGCAGGATGTTGTTTATGAGCCAGTTCTCCTTGATGTTCAGATCATGCAGGATGTTGTTTATGAGCCAGTTCTCCTTAATGTTCAGATCATGCAGGATGTTGTTTATGAGCCAGTTCTCCTTGATGTACAGGTCATGCAGGATGTTGTTTTTAAGCCAGTTCTCCTTGATGTTCAGGCCATGCAGGATGTTGTTTATGAGCCAGTTCTCCTTGATGTTCAGATCATGCAGGATGTTGTTTATGAGCCAGTTCTCACTAATGTTCAGATCACGGAGAATGTCGATGTTTTCTTCTTCTTGGTCCACTGTATTCTAAGAATTTTCTGTAGCATTTTAGCTCAAAAGCTCTGATCTTACAAACACTTGGAGTCAGAAACTGGAAAAATAAGGTCAAACATAGCGATAAATGGCGGCGGTTGATTCTGCAGTAACGAACCTCAAGGGTTTTGAATGCTGCAGAAGAAGAAGACTCACCAAACGTCTGACAGGCCTTAGGCATGAGAAGATTTACTCTACTTACTTATCACAGTGGAAAAATGAACATCCTGATATTCTCTTGTTATGGGTTCGCTTTCTGGCGGAGCTTGACTTTTTTCAAAAATGACCTTGGCTCCCAGGTCAGCCCAGCCTTGAGTGGGTACTGGGTGCAGTCCCAGAAAGTAAAGGGGACCGGCATTATGCTGACCGCATCACCTATCTTGTGCCGATTGGTCTGTAAGAATATAGGTCTACCCCTATATGCCCTATATGCCTAATGATGTGGAAAGGGTCCTTTACTTTACTTTTTTTCATTGATATTCTCGTACATTTATTAATTTAAAATCAAAATATTTTGTTGTCAAATTATGACTGAGCTTTAATTTCTGTCAGCTGGTGACCCCAACAAGAACGTACACGTACTCAACCACAGTCGAAAAATCTTCAGATGCAAGTGTAGGAATCTGGACCGTGGAGCTGGACCCTCAGAATGCCGACACCCCAGCCAACATTAGTGTCACATCTAAAGGAATCACCCTGACACTGACTGATGTTATTTTTGGAGATGTCTGGATATGCTCTGGTCAGTCAAATATGCAGTTTCCAGTGAATCATGTAAGTTATTTGTCATTAAGTATTAGGGTCACCCAATAGTGTTCCCATGTTTGATTACTGTAAAATGTGTACACATTTACCTGATATATAAATCCACCTCATAATCTTTGGCTAGAAATTCTGAGTTAGGCCTTTTCCTACCATGTAGGTCAACTTCCAAAAACTGTTTGTGTTAATATGCAAAATATGTTCACAAATACAAGTTTTTCAAGGGTATATCTGAGGTAGTCTGATGAAGCTTCTGTAACTGTTGAGCAGTGATTTATAAGAGTGTTGTCCCACTTTTTTTTTTTCAACTAGATGGTAAAAGTTAACAAAAGAAGATTAATGGAAAATCTAGCAGAAACAGCAGAAAATGCTGCTAAAGCACATGATCTACAAACCCTACACAAAATTACCCAGCAAATTTGCGGAAGCAGAAACAATTATCACAGCATACCCATCAGAGATAACCAAGGTAGACTGCTCACCACAGAACAAAAACAAGACATGCAGTGGACTAAACACTTCTCCGACCTCTTGAAAAGACCTGATCCTGAAAATCCTCCAGATATTCAACCAGCCTGTCAGGACATTGACATTATTACTGAACCACCAAGCAAACAAGAAATCCTTAATGCTATCCACACTTTAAAGAACAACAAAGCACCAGGCAAAGACAAACTGCCAGCAGAACTTCTCAAAGTAGATCCCAACACAACTGCTAGCATTCTAGAACCATTGTTCAAGGATATTTGGGGAAAAGAAGTGTTGCCTGATGACTGGACTGAAGGAACAATAGTCCCAATCCCCAAAAAAGGAGACTTAACAGACTGCAATAATTGGAGGGGAATTACTCTACTCTCAGTACCAAGCAAAATATTTTATAAAATCATCATAATGTGGCGTGAAGAAGGAGTAGATAAATGCCTACGAGTAGAACAAGCAGGATTCAGAAAGGGCAGAGAAACACCTTAACACATCTTCGCCATACGAAACATTTTAGATCAATGCAATGATTGGCAGAGAAGTATATATATAAATTTTGTGGACTTTGAGAAAGCTTTTGACAGCGTCCATAGAGACAGTCTATGGAAAATTTTACGACATTATGGAATTCCAGAAAAAATAGTCAACATAATTTCTCTTTTCTATAAAGACTTTTCATGCAGTATAAAAAATTACAATACATCTTTCCCAGTAAAGACAGGTGTAAGAAAGGGATGTATTATGTCATCTCTCCTCTTCAACCTTGTGATTGATTGGATACTAAAGAACATAGTAGACAGGACATTGAGAGGCATACAATGGACTCCATTCACTATGCTTGAGGACCTTGATTTTGCAGATGATTTAGCACCCCTATCACATAAACATGAACTTATACAAGAAAAAAGTAACAGACTACACAGCACAGCAGAAATGGTGGGACTGAGAATAAATACAAAGAAAACTAAGATCATGACAAGCAGTCCAAACCAACGACCAGTGACCATAAAAAACCAAACTCTGAAAATGTAGAACATTTCACATATCTTGGCAGTGTGCTTTCCCTACTGGGAGGGACAGAGGAAGACATACAGTCACGTCTGAACAAAGCTAGAGCTGCTTTTGGAAGGTTGAGGCAAATCTGGAAATTCCACAATTACTGCAGAGGAACAAAACTCCAACTCTACAAGAGCATCATTTTGCCAGTTCTTCTTTATGGAGCGGAATGCTGGAGAATGACCAAAAAGGATGCACACAAGCTGTCCACCTTCCACCACACATGTCTACGTAGAATTACCAAAATTTTCTGGCCAGATACAATCTCAAACACTAAACTACTTTAAGTCACAAACCAAAAAACTTTAGACAGTATGATAACCAAGAGAAGATGGAAATGGCTTGGCCACGTTATGAGAATGAATCCTGATATACCCGCCAAAACAGCTCTCACATGGACACCAGAGGGAAAGAGAAAACAGGGGCGCCCAAAAAACAACATGGAGACGAACGATGGAAAGTGACCTAAATGTGGCATCTTTGACATTGAAAACTTCACTGAAGATTGCACAGGACAGGAAAGCATGGAAAGTCCTCTCTGAAGCCTCATGTGCCACTAGGCATAACGAGAACTGATGATGTGATGTTAAAAGTTAACATGCTAGTTCATAGAGGCAACCCACATGATGGTCTGACCTAGGCATACAAAACCAATCACAAAGAAAAAGAAGAAGAAGACGAAGAAGAAAAAGAAGAAGAAGAAGAAGAAGAAGAAGCAGACTATGAAGCAAGTTAACATTTAAATAAATCATGTATTATTTGTTTCATTCAGATGGATGATGCGGCTGCTGAAAAAGCAGATGTGAACTATCCAAATATTCGCCTTTTCACAGTCACAGATAAGCTGTCCACTGTACCACTAGATGATCTTATTGAGGTTCAGCAAGGCTGGACTAGACCAAGCTCTGGTTTGTATTCGAGAATTTCACAATATCGCACCATGTGATTTACAAAATAAGCAGAAGTTAAGAGCTTTATGAAGGCTACTATAATGCACTCACATTTGTGTAACTAATACACACAAGATTGTAACCTGATAGTGTGAAGTTTCAGCATTTATTTTGTTCTTTTCACCAAAAAAAATATTGGGGTTTGCAGTTAGGCTGCAATATTTATGTGCTATTTGGTCAAACACCTTCAGTTTAAACAAACCCTTAACTCAGTCATCTTTTATGGCATGCTTGTTAACCAAAACTTGATCCATTTTCAGAACATATTATCTCCCCTAGATCTTTTGTCATTGCTTGTACTTCAAAAAACATATATATTGGTTAAAGTTTATGTTTTTAATTTACTACTATGCTGCAATTTGAATACATTAAGATGTTATCTTTATAGGGACAGAAAATAAGTAAAACCTTGATAAAAGGATATCCAAAAGACCAGGAAATCCAAAAGACCAGAAAGTCAAGTTAAAAAACAAAATGCATCATGTTAATCTGAGACTAAAAGATGTATTTTGAATAATACAACTCTGATGGGACTAAAATTGTGTTCATGATAAACAAGAGTTTATTTTAAGCGATTCTGTGCTCACCAGGTTTTACCATATATTAATGTAATTTAGAATTTAAAAAAAAAAAAAAACTTGTTTATGCCAGTTGTGCATCAGGTGTAAGATGTTAGACATACGTTTATGTTTAAAAATAGACTCAGGCATCTCATTTCACAGGTGTTAATTTTACCTAGGTTAGCCATTGATAATGTCTAAGTCTCGAATTGGTAGCACAATGTTGGAATGATATACTGTTTAAAATCTGTTTCTTAACGCTCATACTTATGTTTGGATGTTGTAATAATGGTGTCAGCTGGTATATAAGTGCACTGGCTAGTTGGCACCTAGTTTCTATTTCCTGATCTATTCTCCCGTGGATGATGTGGTTAAAATGATACAAGCCACCTCTACATCTGATGACATTTCCTGGTATCCATTTCAAGTGGAATCAACCTGGAGGCAGAATTTTTTTTTTTAAATCTGTCCTGATGCAGTTTCAAAACCATGACCTTTGAATTGGCTGTCAAGTGTCTAACCAGTATGCTACTGCAGTTCACTAATTTGCAATAGTCATCTACTTATTAAAAACTATGGTACAGAACTGAATAATGCTTGAATTACTTGGGCAGTGGAAACAGTAATTTAAATAATTTGAAAAAAAACTCAGGCTAATAGTCAGCCTATCAAACAATCAGAAGAGGCCTCTTATAGAGAAAACAGTGGTGATTGGGGGTGGGGGGATACTTGATGACCATAAATAGGCAATTATGTGAATGATAAAATAATCATCTTCTTCTTTGTGTATGGTTTCATATGCTCACATCAGATCATCAGGTGGGCTGCCACTATGAAAATGCCTGTCAGTTTCAGACCCTTTGTGGTTCCCCATAGCTTGCTCTGCACACTTGCTTCTGAGGCCAGGTTTTTCTGTGTAGTTGTAGGTATAGTGGGCAGGTGTGCAGAATGTGCTCAGGTGTTTGTAGTCTCGTCTGACATGCACACTGGAAGAACTGTACAGAATAATACAATCAGAATATATAAACAGTTTCAGCTGTGCTGATGAGATCAGTAAATCTTCCTGTCTGTTGATTTAATCTTTGTAATGTCTGCCCAGGTGCTGTGGGAGGTTTCTCTGCTGTTTGCTGGGTGTTTGGGAAAAACATTCACAAGACTCTGGGCCATGCTGTAGGTCTAGTGCACTCCAGCTGGGGCGGCACTCCAGCAGAGGCTTGGTCATCTCCTGTAGCCCTGGCTAAATGTGGCAATCTTGTTAGAAAGCCAGACAAATATGCTGATTATGATGAGGAGTAAGTTTAATTATAATTCTCTTATTCTCAGGAGGTCAGTTACCTGCCGTAGTATAGCGGCTAGATGCTCACCTATGGATCCCAAAGTCTTGGGTTCAAATCAGAACGGAGATGGGACTTAAAAAAAAAAAATACATATGTCGATCTAGACTTAAAGGGTACCAGGTCAAGTCCTAGGAAGTAAAGATTGCCGGTGTGATGTTGACCACAACACCCACTGAGTCCAGCTAGTGTATACAATATAAGTCTATCACCATATGCCCAGTATGCCTGAAGGCATGGGAAAGGGCCCTTAAGGTCACCTTGACAAAGTAGTCAAGCCACTGGCTAAATAATTACGTTTTTTCAACTCTTGCGACCCACAACTGTGTGTATCCATTGTCTTTCCATGACATGACGGGAGGCTGACAATCTTCTCTCTTTATTATCTCTTTATTTCCACAAATCTTTAAAGCTGTCCCATGTTCTAGTTTTTCTCTCCTCATGGTGCAGGATCTTTCTATATTTGTGAACAGTTGTCTGTTTGCCTTAGATCATTGGAGTGCCTCATTTTCTGATGATTGTGTGTTAATTTCGTAGACGTCTCATTCAGTTCGTGGATGCAATTGTTACTTACCGAACGGTCAGCTCTAGGTACCACTGTCAAAATCAACACAAGACAAATCATCCTCAGTATACTGGCATTCTACTTATTGTCATGCCAAGAAATGAAACCACAGATAAACTTGCGAAGAAGAGCAGAATGTGAACAGGAAAAGAAGGCAGTAACATACTGTGAAAAGAAAAGGGTCATCAAGTCTATCAGAATTGAACAGAGTCTGACCGGTGATGACTACCACGTACTTGACCAGCATAGACAGGTCATTTTTCTATGCCTGAGGACAGGACATAGCAAATTTAACAAGCATATGCACAGGCTTCGTCTAAGTAGTTCACTAATGTGCTTTTGTGGGCTGTGTGTGCAGACTATAGAACTTGTCCAGCAAGAATGTCCCTTGCCCAGCCATTTAAGAAGAGAATACTGGCGACACTGCACACAAAGTTGTTTGAAACTAAAAGGGAACTCCTAAAAACAGTCCAGTATATCAGAAGAACTTGTCTGTCGGTGTAAATCAGAAAATGAGCACAAGAAAAAGATGGTAATGTTTTCTTCTTTTGTCTGGCTACTTGTGCCACGGAGAGAAAATAGATGTAGTTTTTAGGATATTGTAAGATGTATAGCTTTAAATAATCACATATTTAACACCCTTAGGGGGACTTTGTGGCAGTTAGCCATTATGTGGAGAGAAATGGAGCCATATGAGATAAACCAGTGCAAGGAACGTAGTCCCCTTGACTTCCCTTTAATCTTTTAACTTGCTTAACATTTCTTTGACTCCATCTGGCCATCTTTTCCTGGGTCATCTTTTTGTCCTGAATCCTGATGTTCTCATGTAATATGCTCACTTTGAATCCATTCTGACCAAATGCCCACCTGTGATTCTTTTCATTTGATTCTTTGATGGTACTGATGAAATACCCACCACATGTGGCATACACACACTCATGAACATACATTTATAGTTGTTTCTGTATATCCAAGGCATACACCTGTTTTACCATCTTTTAATTCAAGAAACACTTATTCTCCTTAATAAAACTTAACCAAAAAAAAATTATTTTCCCTTATAGATATATGAATCAACTAGCCAAAGTGATGAAACTGGAAGATCAAAATTCCAACTCTGTTTTATGGAATGCAATGATCCACCCTTTTCTGAAAACATCTATAAAGGGAGCAATCTGGTATCAAGGTATTCGTTGTTTGACTTTGTTGTTTTAGTCTGCATATTTAGTAAAAAAAAGCAAAAGTAAAGGACCCTTTTCCACACCTTTAGGCATATAGGGCATATAGGGCTAGACCTATATTTTATAGACCAATCAGCACAAGATGGGTGATGTGGTCAGCATCGCGCTGGCCGCCTTTACATCCTGGGACTGCACCTGGTACCCACTCAAGGCTGGGTACACCTGGGAGCCAAGGTCATTTTTGAAAAAAGTCAGGCTCCTCTAGGGAGCGAACCCATGACCTTGTGATCCGCGGCGAACATCTAGCCACTCCGCCATGGCGACTCCCATATTTACATAACAGATTATCAGCATCTGGAGACACTGATTCAGCAGGGAGAGAACAGAGGGTCTGGGCAAATTTCAATGCACAAAGGGAAGACAGACAAAATTTATCTGCTTGTCTCTGGCACCATCAGTATGGGAACTGCCGGAGTCACACATAATTTGTGTGGTCGGCCTGTGATTACTAGTCGTTTTAGTATAAAGTGATTGTTCAATGTGGCTTTTTTAAACATCAATTTAACGATTTTAAACAACTTCAAACAGTGCTGCTGAAAACTGTAGGCTCAAGCACCTTATGGCACCCCATGACCTCCAGAAGGGGACTACTTGGTCCTACGGAATCATATATAATTTATAGATGCTCTATTTTCAAGAATCTGTTTATACATTTCTTATAATATTTAACATGGTAATAATAATAATAATAATTATTATTATTATTATTATTATTATTGCATAGTTAATCAAGGCTTAAACCCCTTGAGACCCCCTCGCCCATCTTTAGATAGTTATTGGGAGTGGGAGGGTTTGAGGGGACCCCTCCCCTCCTCCCTGTGGTACTTTTTGGTGGCGCCTCTGAATAAAAGGAAGTATGTTGGATCATTGCGCTTTTTAATTGCTGCAATGTACACACACACTCACCACTGCTTAAACCCGACTGGTAAAGTTATAGAGGGTAGATTACAATTATGTGCCACATTGCAAGTGGACAACATATAAGATATAGAGGTGGTCAACATTAAGAGATTGTCTTCTATTGAGAATATGTTTGACCATCTGATTAATGAAAATAATGTCAACTTCCAGAGTTGGACAACACTGGGAGGGGTCAACTTAGGAGGTTCTACTGTACCAAGCAAGATTTGCTGTTAAACAGTATTGTGTCTCAAAAATTAAAATATTTTGGACATATCGAGTGCCATGATGGATTGGAAAGAACAGTGACAGAGGGTATGATACCAGATAAAAAGGCAGGTACCGACCTACACAAAAATGGGCACGTGATATCAGAGATAACTTGAGTAGGAAAGTGCATGAGATGGGGAGCTGGTGAGAGACCAAGTTTCTTTCGAGCAGGTTATGATGAAAACAACGTACTGCAAAGGACCTGCTGTATGGTGATGATATATATGTATAAATGCATGTGCATATTTATATATACTATTAATTCATTGACTGTAAATGTAATAATAAATAAAGAAAGACAGAGAGACGGACAAGGAAAGAGCACCAAAGAAAGACAGAGTATTAACTGAACACATGCAACCATGTACGGAATTAGAACTGAATACTCTTTTGTTGTTGTTATATAACACCTGTGTAATAAATGTGACAGCTTTTGATGAGTAAAGAAAAAAAAATAACTGACAAACACTTTTCTTTCTGAAACATCTTAACTGGAAACTGATCATCATCAAATGATTAAAAATGAATATGTTGTTCTTATTTATATTTTTATATTTTACAAATCTGAAGGCTCTTTCTTGCAGCTGTGGTCTCTGTCCATTGTTAAAAAATCTTCATTGATCAGGCTATCAGCTTACAACTTGTGTCCCTGTATATTTGTTTCCAATATTTCAACCATAAACAAAGATTATTTTTCTTTAAGGTGAGGCTGATGCAAGTGGTGTTAAAATGCAACATTATAACTGTACTTTCCCAACAATGATCAGTGACTGGAGATTGAATTTTCATCAGGCATCTAACAGTCAGACAAATCCTTCTTTTCCATTTGGCTTTGTGCAGGTATTTTGTTCTTTTATTGAGCTGTATGTATTCATAATTTCATAGTAATGTTACAAATACATGAAAAATGTGGCAATAATAAATTATCTGTCAGCCAATTACTGAATTTTTAAAATACTAATCTGAGAACAGTTGTGAAAACAGCAAATAATATTCATATAATAGCATAACTGAGCTACCAGTGTTGGTTAAACGGGAATGACTACCAAACATCATATGGTTATGACAGTTTTGTGAAGAGAGGTCAATAGTATGGTAACAAGTATTACGAAAACAGAAAAAAAAATGTTTCTTATTATCTTCCATTGAATATGAAGACTTTCAACAGATGAAGATGTAGGCAGTGCCATTGGGATGTGAAGTGTTCATAAGTCAGCATGTCCTTTACCATTTTTCGCTCTCATCATGGCATACGTGAAAGTCTCTCTGTCTCTAGCCAGTTTCTCCAACCCTATGTGCTTTCCTGGCCAGTGCATTTTCAGTATTTTTATCCATCTTGGCAAAGGTCTGAATCTGTCTAGTCTGCTGAAAACCGTACCCTCCATACTTTCTTTGCAGGCCAACATGACGTTTAACATGGCCAGAATACCCCAGCTTTTGGGACAGGATGCTGTTTGTGTGCCAGTTGCTCTCATTAGTCAGGTCATGTTGGATATTGGTTTTTCTTTTTTTTTTTCTTCTTAGTCTATCGTATTCTGTATCATTTCAGTTCAAATGCTCTGATGTTTTTGTTCAGTGATTAAGAGTCCATGACTCACATCCATAAGTTGCCATGGGAAAGATGCATGATCCCATAATGTTTAACTTGCTTGCAGGTGAAGTGTTAGGCTATCACAAACCAGGCTACATCATATGTAGCAAAGTAGCTAGTTTGCTTCCTCACCAGCTTTTCTCAGAAAATTCTGAAAATTATCTGATACTACCCATTTTATGGGGTTTGGTTAACTGCAGTCAGACTGGTAGAAAACATCTCATAATAGATGCTTGCCGGCTAAGTAAATAGCACTATTAATATAAATCTGGACTGTTTTAGTTAGTTTATACAACAATATTTTACACAACAAAGCGATTTTAAATACATACCACTATCATGGTGTGCTAAAGTGATAAGCATGGGTGGTCATAGTTTGTCTTCTCACATTATCAATAATTTTGGATCAGATCTGTGTTCTTGTCCCTTAAGTGCCATTTGACTAAACCATCTAAGTATTTATCTCACTGTCTTATTTACACTAAGAGAGCTGTGACAGACTCATGGTTAGATGCTTGCATATTGGCTCAAAGGTCACAGCCCAAAGGTCACAGGTGAAGTTTACCTCTCAAAACTGATATTGGCTCCCAGGTCGACCTAGCTTAAAATGTGTACTAGGTATTGTCCTGGAAAGTAAAGATGGCTGGCATGAGGTTGACAACCTCACCAACAGAGTGCCGATTCATCTGTAAAAATATGAGTCTAGCATTAAATAAAAACAGTCCTTCACTTTTTTTTTTTCACCAGCCCGTTTTCTTTTTCACATCACGTTTTTTTCTCTCGCCAAGTTATCAAGTTATTTCTCCTACATCATCCTCATCATCATCATAAACCACTTCTGCCATTAGGCATTGTGGAAAGGAATTATTTGCTATCCAGTGCACGCTGGCTGTTGCTGGCTATTGTCAGGCTGTAAAGGCGTAGAGTGTTTTTAATGTTGTCAATCCATATTTCCGCAACTGTCCTCTTGATCTTGTAGCTGATTTTCTGAGATGTAGTGCTTGCTTGTGATGGTATTTGATCTTGCTGAATTCTAACGAGATGGCCAAACCACTTGATCTGCGGTTTCTCTATGAATCTAGTACAAGGTGTCATTCACACAATTTGCCTGATAGTTTTATTATTCACTCGATCTCAGATGGTTAGATTGGCGGCTTTTCTCAGGCATTTCATCTCGCAAGTGGTGATTCTACATATATGGGCTTCAGATAGTGTCCATGTCTGGCACTGGTAGCTTAATGTTGGAATGAATTTCCCGTTTAATAATCTGTCTCTTTGCACTTTTAGTTATGCTTGGATGTATTAATAATTGTGAGAATTGATATATAAGTACACTTGCTTTCTGACGTCTGGTTTCTATTTCTCAGTCAATTCTACAATCTTCCATGATCATACTCCCTAGGTATTTAAACTCCCTAACTTGATTCAGACCAGAACCATTCAGCTGTATTTAGTGGGCTAGGGGTTCAACTAACTCACATTGTTTAGGTTTTGTTTGCATTTATCTTCATGTTGTATTTACTGCATGCTGAGTTTCTTCTACAAAATCTCAAAAATATAAACTTTCTGTATTTAATATCTTTAGTCAGTTTACACATTTGCTTGCATTCATTTTAATTACAGTTGGCCCCGAATGCAAATGCTCCTAGCCTTACATCAGGATTCCCAGATATTCGCTGGCATCAGACGGCTGACTACGGTTATGTGCCAAACCAAAAGATGTCGGATACATTCATGGCTGTTGCAATGGATCTACCAGACTTTAACTCACCATATGGCAGGTAAAGACAATTTTTTTTTTGGGTAAACTGTTTTTGTTAATGACTAGGTTTTTAATGGATAGAATATATATCTTCCGCAGCTGTAAATTAAATGATATTTTGGGGGGAAAGCTTGTGTGAAATATTTTGTATTGTTTTCAATGTCTGACAACATTAACATAATGCTTCAGAACGTTGGCTTTTTCTGGCTTAAATGGTTGGCATATATAGTTATTAACTTTCAAAGGCTGAAGTAATTCTACTGTTGACAATGCTAGTGTGTGTGAAAAAATTTTTTTTTGATTGATTGGCCTCTCGTTAACTATTTTTTTTAAACAAGGGAGATAATGCAGTCTATAAATGATAATACATTATTGAGTTGCATGAGGACAACAAATTATTGACCTCATTAAGCTGCATCTGATAGAATGAGGAAACCAATTCAGCAATAGCAGGAAGGATGAGGTTACAGGATGGAGTAGAGGCTTGTGTGAGCAGCTCACCATGTTAACTACAAGTATCGATATTCTTTACGATCTGTGAACAGGGGGAGGGGGGGGGGCAGAAAATCAGACAGACAGGCAGACATACCTGGCTGGCAGGCAGGCAGAACATATGGGTATGTGCCAAGAGATATCAGTGTTGAATTACAATTTTTCATTATTAAGTATGAAACTATATGATAATTAAGTTTTTATTTATTCCAGTTATCATAAAGCATTGGTAGATCACTTTGCATTGTTTTTGATGATGTTATGAGCATTGTGCTGTTTAAAAAATAATGGTAAACTGTTCTTACTTGTAGTCCATGTTGTGTGGCATTGATAGCCATGTCTATTCGTAGTCTTCTATCTCACACACTTTTAGTTACTTCTAATACTGATGAACTTCCATGCTATGATGTCAGACTGTCCAACGTCTTTTATCTAGATCTCCCTCTGCTTCGTTTCTTCTCCAACATTCCCACTCTCACAATGTACACCAGCTTTCTCATTCCCATGATTTGACCAAAGAGTTTAGAATGGCAAATTACTGAAAGTAAAATTGCTTGGTAAAGTAACACAACAGCCAATAAAACTTGGGATAATGGAGTTGCAACTAACAACCACAAAGTAAGTAAGTAAAGAACTTTCTTCCACACCTTCAGGTGTACTGAGCAAATAGGGATAAACCTATATTGTGTAGACCAATCGACACACGGTGGGTGATGTTGTTATCATCATAATGGCCACCTTGACTATAATGACTTTACCTAGTACCCAGTTAAGGCTGGGTTGACTTGGGAGCCAAGGTGTAAAGCAATAAAATATATTTAAAAGTAAGAAGATATTTGAAAATTATTATTTAAAATGTTCAGAATTGTTAGTAATTTATGTATGGCATACTTCCACACTGCAGCATTCACCCACGTGACAAAAAAGATGTCGGAGACAGGTTAGCACTGAGTGGTCTGGCTGTTGCCTATGGGTTGCCGGAAGTTTTCCAAGGCCCATATCCATCAAAGGGGGAAGTAACTGCTGGTGGATTTAAGATTACCTATGGTTCTTCTGCTAGCTTGGAGATTAAAAGTGTTTCTGGATTTGAGGTAATGCTTTTGTTGACTGCAATACAAGCTATAATTTACATTTATCCTAATGTTTATTCTTCATTATCATCATTACCATGATCATCATGCTTTCTTAGTGGTTAATATATGTCTTTAATATCATAAACTTATATAGCTTCTCATTATCAACCTTTAAGTGCTGAATAAAGTTTTTAAGAGTGAATAGCTTTAGAAAGTAAGTAGTGGCTTAGCAAAGTAGGTGTTGATGAGAAATTTGTAAAAACCATTCAGTACACATGTATAGAGAATTAACTGACATTAAGACGTGACCAGAATAATTGAACACACACATCCCTATGAGCTTTTGATATAAATTCTTGACTCTTTAATTAATTAATTAATTCCTTAAAAGTTATCAGGAGAAAAAGATTTTTTATAGGCTACATACTGAAATGAAAACCAAGTAGTAATCATTATTTAAATATAAAGGAATTCTAACATCTCATTATCAACCTTCCTAAGTTGTTCTTAATGATTTCAGCTGTTGTGTTCAGCAAGGTGGGCTGTTGCAAACATTACATCACATGACGAAGTCAGCATCACGCTTCAAAATGTCTGCTCTGCTAGTGAGAGTATTAAGGGAGTACGCTATGCATGGAGAGAATCGCCCTGCTCTTTTAAGGCATGTGCTGTCTACGGAAAAGTGAATAGCTTGCCTGCACCTCCATTCATTCTTACAGTGACTTCAGATACCAAAGGGCATTCCTACATTGATTTTCATGCTCCAGCTCACAATTAGAGTAGCTGGTAAAGACTATTTTTGGGACAAAGTGTTAGCCAGATTGTTTGAATCTTACAGTACAATTCTGATTTAACCAGTCCAGAAAGGTTTAAACAAAGCAGTATTTGAAATAATAATACAAATTACATAATTGTTCTAAATAAATAATTAAACATATATAAAATAACGAATATATACTCTGAGAACTCAATGAACACTTTATATCTCAGTTATAACCCTGAGCTTTAAATTTTTTTTTTTTTAAAGATTGCAACTACCTAACAAATTAATTGTTTTTAGTCACTGCTTTCTTTTATAGTTAGCTGCTGTATTAGGTAAATATATATACTTTTACAATTTGTATTTTTGTATTTAGTGACTACATTTCTATATAATTAGTTTTTGTATTAAATGGCTACACACTTTAACAATTTGCTCTTGCTTTTAATGACTACATGTCTTTATAATTAGCTCCTATATTTAGTTACAGAAGACCTCTGCAATTATATGTTGTATTTAGTGACTCCATACTTTTGTAATTAGCTGTTCTATGTAAACAATAAATAATACTTGTGAATTAAATATTATATATACATATATTTTTAATATAAAAAAATTTTTTTTACTGATGCTATTTGTTTTAGTAAATGTGACGTCTTCTTTACACTTAATAGAGCATATTGGTAAACAGTTTATAAACATGCCAATAAAGGTACATAATTGTTTCATAATGTGACTCAGAATATTGTTACTTCATGGTTGTAAAAATCTATCAATTGTTTAGAGAAGAGAACATTTCTGCAAATTTTAAATTCATGAAGTTCAAACATCTTTTTTCCCCACCAGATTTTACTTCAGTGCCCTGTTTGATTTTATTGAGCTTAATTTTATTGTATTGGCTTAAAAGTAATATTTAACATACATAAATGTTAAGCTGAGTAAATGGAATTGAGAGAAAATAAGTAAAGGACCCTTTTCCACGGCTTTAGGCATATTGGGTAAATAGGGCTAGACCTATATTTTATAGACCAAACAGCACTTGTTGGGTGATGTGGTCAGCATCACGCAGCCTGCCTTTACTTCCCAGAACTGTCTGATACCCACTCAAGGCTGGGTCGACCTGGGAGCCAAGGCTTTTTCTGAACATAGTCCGGCCCCTGTCAGGACCCGCACCTATGACCTTCCAATCTGCAGGTGAGAGTCTAGCCGCTAGATCGGGGAGGCTCTCTAGTTGAGAGAGAGAGAGTATTGGTAAATACATGAATTGTATATATTTAAATGGTTACAAGAAGCATTGTTTGCTATATTTAGATGTATATGAATACACATGTGTATGCTTACATGCATACTTGTAAAATATGCAAATTAATCTGTTACTTCTGTAAAAGTAATAATTAAAACAAATGGCTTTGTTACTAGAAACATTATTTTGGTCACCCTTGTGAAAACAAGGTGTGTGTGTTTGTAATGTACATTATTTTCCTATATAAAAAAACTGTAATTGATTGCAAGTTGGTTAATAGTTGTTTCAATTTAACTCACTCTTTTATACCTGTTGTTGAAAATGTATGGTGTGTAAATAAAATATTTGCCCCACAATACACACATTAAATTCTTGTTCAATCCTATTGAACAGTATGACGCAGTGGTTACAAACAAACCTGTAGTGAAATCTGGGCAAGTTGAACGAGTATAACTGGGGAGTGTGACATGTCGCTTTTGCTCCTCTGGGCTGCTGCCTGAGGATTTTACATCTGGATTGTGACCAGTCTTCCCAGTTGATGTCCATAGTATGAGCAGTTTAGGGATGAGAATCAAGTGGGAGCAAAGCACATTCAACAGTACAACACAGTCCAAAGTGGGCATGGGAGTATGAACTGAGGCAGTGATTGAATGATGTTCAAACCCACTGGGACTGTAAAATGAGCGGCAAAGTGCCACCACTCAGATGATAATCACATCCTAGAAATCCTGTTCAACCATTAGGTAATAAAGGGCCCAGAGTACAGCTGGTTTTGGGCTTTAAATTAACAAAAGCAATGCGTCCCATACCTAGGCAAAGTTAACAACAACAAAAACTAAAACTAAGATAGCCTTAAAACAGCAGCTAAAAAATATTGACCATGTACAGATGTGAATGGACAGTTAGTAAATTATGGAAAATTTATTTAGAATTTAGATGGGATTTTATGGACAAATGATGAGAATACCCTGGACAGATAAAATAAGTAATGAAGATGTCTTGAAAGAAACTGGCTCACGCAGAGAACCCATTGCCCACATCAGAAAGAGACAATCTATATTCATTGGTTATGTGATGAGAAGGAGAAAACTGAAGTACATCATGATGGTTAAACTTAGTCTGTTCAAATGTCTTGCAATGGTCTACCAAAGTAGTATTTGTGCTTGATAAATTTGGGCAGGGAGAGGAGTGGGTTAAAGTGTCCGAGCAAGTTTCAGACTTGTGTAGGGTTCTTATCACTTCAGATCGTGAGTGCAGGACTGGCCAGCTGTGCTGCAGAGTAAGAAGTTCAACAAATGATTCATGACAATTCCCTCCCAAGTGATGTGATTATCTATACAAATGGCTCTGTGTTGAGGGGCAGACAAAGTTCATAGCGGTTTATAGCAATAGCGAATAAACATCGCTTAGTGCAACAACTCCTGTTATATGATATCACAACGTCTAGTTTGAGAATGGAGGTGGAGGCAGTCATTGCTGCCTTCTGCTGGCTTGAGAATCAGCTGTACATACATGCTATGATTTTAACTGACTCATAGAGCATGTTGGGAAAGGTGGGGACAGGTATGCTGCATGCAGAGTGGCAAGCATTACTTCAGAGGTTGCGGGTAGTTAGCATCCTTTGGATATTTTCTCCAGGTTATTCCGGTGTGGTGGGAAATGAGCAGGCAGATCGGATGGTTGGCTCTACATCACTTAGTGGTGAACTGATGTATGACAAGCTAGATATTGGTCGGGCCCTTTGGGAGCAGGTGAACAGTGTGGAGGCACAGATAGATCATTAAGGTCTGAGGAGAATGCGCTGTGAGAAGTTACCAGGGAAAATGGTCGACGCTCAACACTCAAGGAAACTGCGAGACGGATATACAATCAGACAGTTACTGATGCCATCAGAATAGGAACTCCTTGTTTGCTGCTGAAGATGGGGACAGGGCGCTTATAGGAATGTTCCGAGCGCTATGATGTTGGTTCTCAATTTAACATACTCGTCTTACTCAACATACCAAGTAGTTGACATTCAACTTACAGATGTGGTCAACATTTAAATCTTTTATTGAGAATATAACAGTAAGTGAAATGGTTTGCCCACTGAGAGAGAATGCTTTGTGACACCATACCATACAAAGCATACATGGGAAGAGAAGAAGGTCGTAGAGCACGGGGTAAACCAAGAACATGATGGAAGGATAACATCAGAGAAACTCTACAACAGCACGATGTGCCTATGGTCGAGGCAGCCAGAAGAGCTAGAAACAGAACCTTATTTCTCCCTCGACACCCACAGCGGTAAAAGAGGAAGTGAAGAAGAAGAGAAGAAGAAAAAGAATTGAGAATATATGGTGACCATACAATCAATGGAAATTAGGTCAACTTCCAAAGTTTGTCAACATACCGCTGTGGTTGAATTTGTAGGTTCTACAGTGTGTATATATGTGTGTGTTGACATACTAATAAATCTCAACACCATGAAAGATAGGCTAGTAAAAAGCATCCTGTCTTGGAAACCACCATTTGAACCACCATGGCGGACTGGATAGCATAATGACAGTAAGCATAGAACCATGAACGAGAGCTACGGCTGCCCAGCTCAAGGACACTACGCCTTCACGGCATGACAATAGCCAGTGGCAGCCAACATGCACTGGATCGCAAATTATTCCTCCCCACGGTGCTTAACGGCAGAAGTGGTTTATGATGATGATGATAGACTTTATTTAGGTGAAGAAAGAAAGACAGACAATCAGAGAGCATCAAAGAAAGACAGAGAAAGAAATGAACAAATGCAACCATGTTCGGAAGTTACGGGGAAGTTACGGGAATACAATACTACCTGTGTAATAAGTGAGACAACTTTTCTGCTCCACTCACTTTAGTGAGTAGACGGTGTCCTAGGGTACCATGGCAGCGATCACCACCCCTGCACATGTTTGTGGAGAAAAGCAGATCTAGGAAGCACGAGCCAAAGTTCAAGACTTTCCAGTATGATAGTGCAGCAGATCTTGCCTTGTGCAAATTAAGACGTGGCAAGCTGGGAGCAAACACCCCCCCCCCCTTTTCCCTGATGGATTCATGAGGTGGAAAAAGCATGGGCGGATTAGCTGAAATCCTCACAGCGTCTCTCGTATGGCATTGATGATGTATCTCCTGTCCATAGAGGGCCCATTGCTGATAGTGGCTCTGTCAGACAGAGCGTCTGTTCTCTCATTGCCTTTCACACCCGTGTACCCTGGGACATGGTGGTCTGAAGAATTGTGAGCAATAAAAAGAAAGCCTATGGCATTCGGCTAAGGAGCAGAACATAAGAGGATTACATAGCATACAGGATAATTAGAGGAGAGGTAAATAGAACTATCAGACAAGCCAAAAGAGGTTCATGGGAAAAGTGTGGAAGCAAGCTGGCTGAAGAAGAAAAAATAGTAGTGAAAAACTACTACCCAAAAAAATCAAAGGCTTGAGAAGCAGAAATGAAGAATACAACCCACCAGAAATTATTAATGACGAAGAAGGTCAACCTTTAATAGAACCTAACAAAATTATAGCAAGGTGAGCAATTCCTCTAATGAACGTAAAATTGGAACAACATAGATAAAATGCCTTAAAAGAGCTGCTAGGACTAAAGCTATTTTTACAGGTCGTTAAAGAACAACAAATGAAGTGGTTTGGACACCTAACAAGAATGCCCTGGTACTATCTGCCACAGCGAGCCACACTGAAACGTTACAACAGGTATAGAGCGAGTGGAAGACCTCGGAAAACACGAAGTGATATCATTAAG